ATTTCAACAGTAACATCTGTTACTCCCAATCTCTATTTTGCCGTCTCCACAATAACCTTCAACCTGGCATTTCTGCTTTCCACAACCCGAGTCGTATTGATAACCTTACAAATAAAAGCTATGATGTCAACTTTATTTATTATTAAAGTGTCCTTTGACGCCGCACATTCATGAGTGCAAGATTTCTGAACAGGCCTCCAAACCATGCCAGGACCAGCAGAAACACCAGCCTCAACATTAGGTCCACTTACTACATTAGGTCCATGGAAGCTCCATCATTCCACACTGTAGTTCCACCAATCTGACTTACAGCCTCCGCATACGATACATAATGACTAATTCTATATCTCTGAGCCTCTCTCTGCACCTGGCATCCACCAAATGCTGCACTATGTTCCCTCCCACAATTACAACACTTAACCTTCACATTGCTCCCACATTCACACTAATCATGTTCCCCTCCACACTTGGCACATATTTTCCTTCCTTTACATTGAGCAGCTACATGTCCCATTCTTTGGCATTTAAAACACCGCAATAGGGATGGGTCAAATTCTCTGACATTGAAACTAAGGAATCCTATCTGTACTTTCCCAGGCATAACCTTCTCAAACCTCAGCAGCACTGATAGGCTTTCACTTCTTTGGCTTCTTTCCTACTGATCAACCTTTTGGCCTCAATCACTCTTCCTCCCTTCACATTTTCTTTAATATCATCTATGGACATAAATATTGGGACCCCAGTGATGACACCCCTCAATCTAGCATAAGCACCAGGGACATGGCTTTTAATCTTCTTCCCATTAAGCTTTTCCATTTTCAGAATCTTCTCTTGCTGAGCCTGGCTACCACAAAATATTAACAATCTACCATTTCCAATTAACCAAGCTAATTTCACTTCACCTACCTCTTTCTCTACAGCATTAGTTAGTCAGATAGGGCCTCACTTACATTTACATTACATTTTTTACATTTTAGTCATTTAACAGACGCTCTTATCCAGAGCGACTTACAGGAGCATTTAGGGTTAAGTGCCTTGCTTAAGGGCACATCGACAGATTTTTCACCTAGTCGGCCCGGGGATTAGAACCAGCGACCTTTCGGTTACTGGCACAACGCTCTTACCCACTAAGCTACCTGCCACCCTGAGGTCTCAAACACTATCACCACTTTCCACTCCAACACATTATTAGTCTTGCTTCCTACCTTGGCCATTTTTATGCTTTATTTACTAGACGCCCCACTGCTTTCTGTATCATGATCTCTCTTCTTCCTATGTCTTTTCACTACCGACCAGTGGCAACCCACCTGTTTAGCAAAAATTGCATGTTATTTTGGCATTAATTCATGTCACATATCAGTTTGCAAATAATGTCAAAACAAATGTATTGAGTGAATAAAGCCGCATACAAACAGGGTGCAGGTGTTTCAGCCTAGCTCAGTGCTTTCTGTGGTGGAGGGGCAGCCAGCGGAAAATACAGAGCGTAGGCGTTGGTAATGTTCTCTAGTTGTGCCGTGATTGGCTCAGTGTTCTGTCTCTCATGGGGACACTACGTCACCGCAGAATCTACAGGGAGAGCTAGGCAGTTCAAGCCCCCTTGGGTGCTGCCATAGATTTACATTAGAAGTGCCCATCCAAGAAGGCTCAAGGTCATTGGCCACAGATAAAATTAGGTCAAATCACGTTATATCTACCGTAGCTTTGATTGGACTGATCATGTCAACATCATACTTTCAAAATCTTAGTTAGCAAGCTAGACAAGCAGTCATCATCATGAATCACTTCGACAATCTACTGGCAAATCCTTTTCAATCCTTGTCATATGAAGATAAATTATAGATCAAACGTATCGTTGCTCATCGGGCATTGGATATCAACATTACACAACAAGTCGGAAATCGCAAATTCAACAATGAGTGGTTTGGAAGGAATCAGTAGCTAACTGCAAGCATTGCGAAGCAATCACTATTTTACTTCCCCTGCCTGCTATTCGGTGGAGAGGGTGTGTGGTCCAAGTCTGGGTTTAAGGATTTAAATAATCTGTCTGAAAGGGTAATTTTTTCCAAGCTTAAAAAGATAAACATTCACACGCAACACCATGGGCCAGAAAAGGTTGAATACATTGGCCACTGTCAATCCAGCATGACTTCTGCCGCGTTCAAAACAACTGGAAACTCTGAACTCTGAAATCTCAGACTTCAGTGAGTTTGAAAAAACTCTGGAAAAAAACGAGATCCGACTGGGAATATACGTTTTGAACGGACATCCAAATCGGAATTCCAAGTCGGGAACTCAGGCCTCTTTCTAGAGTTCCGACCTGAAGATCATTGACTTCATGATTCAACGTTGTTGTTTTTCCAGAGTTCCCAGTTGTCTTGAAAGCACCATAAATCCATAGAATGCCAGAATTTGATGACAAAGTTTGATGACAAAATTTGCCCACAAGAAAGACCGCCGTGCCATCTTCCTGTTCAAGTGAGCACAGCACAACATGGTGAGTCCAAAAATGTATTGTATGCTGCTGCATAAATTATGTAATATGCCAGGGAGATATGTATACTGTAGCTAAGAAAGTAATACTAAGTATATGTTGTGTAGTAAGCTGTTAGTAGTCCATGTGCCTCACCCTAATAATTTGGTCCCTTTCCCCCTCATAACTTAGCCTACTGTTCTGACTTGGTGGTGCACATGTAGCCTATAGCCTGTTTTAGAGAAATGTCATCATCGAATATTGTAAGAGCTTTCATTGTCTGCTTATATGCCCCCTTTATTTATCCTACGGTTCTGACTTGGTGCACAGGGAGAATATTGTAAGAACGGCCCATGTTCTGAATTCTTTCACTGTACATTTCAAAAGTGCTGAACAAATAGTTATATTGACTACGTCCGTCCTAGCTCGCTCATTGATGTCTTAATCGAAATTATAGATTGCCTCTTATCTGCTTGTAGTTCCCTTATGCCATAGTTTGTACATCACAATTGTCAGTAGAAACTACATTTGTTTAAGAAAGTCAGCCATATCAACTATGTTTTTTAAAAAGGCAGTAAATGAGGCTGAATTAACTGTTTCGCTGCCAGACAAGGCTCCGCAGATAGCCAGGTGTAGCGGTGGTAAGGATTCACTCCATGGTACTGAAAAGAAAGCTCTGCTGTTAGGACAGCTTTAAGTAGGCCCTAACAGTTTGTGGGCACCGTTTGTCACCGTGATCGCGCAATTAATGTTTTGTTTAGTGTTATGTTCTGTAGTGGCTTTGCTGGCATGCATTAAAAAAATATTGGGGGAGTTTATCCCACCAAGATTTACATGCTAAAATCGCCACTGGATCTACGACTCACATTAATCATCTCAGGATCCCTCCCCCTTAACCCATATTCTTCTACTTTCTTCACTGCCTCAGCATAAGACACCCACTGCACTATAGCGTTTAGTCGCATGCCTCGGAGCGCCTCCGGTATCAAACTTAACATCACTACTTGTATACCCCTCCCACCTATCTGTTTCATGTCTCCGGGACAGTGGTGGAAAAATTACCCCATTTTCATACTTGAGTAAAAGTATAGATACCTTAATAGAAAGTGACTCAAGTAAAAGTGAAAGTCACCCAGTAAAATACTACTTGAGTAAAAGTCTGAAAGTATTTGGTTTTAAATATACTTATGTATCAAAAGTAAAAGTATAAATCATTTCAAATTCCTTATATTAAACAAAGCAGACGGCACCATTTTCTTGTTTTAAAACTTTACAGATAGCCAGGGGCACACTCCAACACTCAGACATTATTTACAAAAGATGCATTTGTGTTTAGTGAGTCTGCCAGAACATAGGCAGTAGGGATGACCAGCTGTTCTCTTTATAAGTGCGTGAATTTCACAATTTTCCTGTTCTGTTAAGCATTCAAAATGTAACAAGTACTTTGGGTTGTCAGGGAAAATGTATGGTGTAAAAGTACAATATTTTCTTTAGGAACGTAGTGAAGTAAAAGTAAAAGTTGTCAAAAATATAAATAGTAAAGTAGAGTACAGATACCCAAAAAAAACTACTTAAGTAGTACTTTAAAGTATTTTTACTTAAGTGCTTTACACCACTGAGGTAGGCCTAGCCCGCGAAAGCCAGCATGGACAGAATGCAATAATTGACTAATATTTGCCATATTCTAATCATTCTCATGTGGCAACAGCCCGTGCCATGGTGAAACTTGTACTCCTGTAGATCTGAAATAATTGGATGGTGAAACTTGCCAGGCAACCAGAAAAGCAAGGCGAAGCAATTCAGACATTCTTGAAAGTCAGGACAATCCTTGTCCTGCAAAGAAAGGTTATTTTTACAGTTGAATTTTTTTTATTTTTCAAGCAGTAGGTATTTATAATTAAATGTGGATTGGACTTTATAGTTATGTGATGACGTCACAATTATTTGGCAATGATCATTTATTCGAAAACACGTTTCCATCATAATTTGTCGCAATTAAGAAAGTTTGACAAAAGAAACATGCACCGTTGTCGAATGGATAAAAATGTTGTCGAGCTTTAGAACATTTATCCTATCTGCCGTTTCCATTACACGTCACAATTATTATTATTTTTAGCTTTTGTCGAATAAACCTGGGTCAGTGGAAACCTGCCTATTGTTGCACTATTCAATCAATTAGTGTCCTTTCAGCAACATAGGCTACGGCCTAGCCTAACACATCAGCAAATTTACAAGCATTTCAATGTTAACATTGTTATTATGGCTCTGTGTTATTTCTCCGTAAATAATCCTCGAGGTTTGGTTTAAATGTGTGCTTCTCCTTTAAGCATGAAGATGGGAGTGTACTACTCAGTTTGACCTCGACGAAGAGGACTTGTTCGACTTCAAACTAGTTCACCTGTCAACGGCGTCTGACATAATATTCCTAGTTAGGCTGCAACTTTTCTTTGTTTGGTTTTTAAAGTCTCATACCTTTATCGACTGTTCAACGCGGAGAGGCACTATAGTAACCCACGTCGTAAACAGGATTATGGAACCTTTAGCGAAACGGTATCTATTGTCATGGCTGTTTGTGGCTTCAAGTCTTCAGGTGACGAGTTTGCATTTTGCGGAGGCGATTTATATATGTACAGCCTACCTGAACGTGTCGTTTATTGATCCTGAACACAACGTAACCGTATGGCGACAAGAGGAAAGCGGACTATATGGACAATATTCTCCAAAAGTTACAGTGATGGGCGACGTGTATTTACCAGATCCGATTTACAGTTGTGAAAGTGATACTTTCTATGATGTACCCAGTGGGTCGAAGGGGTGGATCGCCTTAATTCAACGCGGCCAACGATGTTCCTTTTCAGAGAAGATCAATGTTGCGGCCAGTAAAGGAGCTATTGCTGCTGTCATTTTTAATGATATTGGTACAGACAATAGAGTCATCCAAATGTCGCACCCAGGTATGTAGTCTACAGCAAGATGGGCAACTCGGCTATATGTTAGCCCATAAACGTTAACTACCTTTAGCGTCTATTCACTAAGGTATCTTCTCGCCTAAAATGACATACCCAAATCTAACTGCATGTAGCTCAGGACCTGAAGTAAGGATATGCATATTATTGATACCATTTGAAAGGAAACACTTTGAAGTTTGTGGAAATGTGAAATTAATGTAAGAGAATATAACACATTAGATCTGGTAAAAGATAATACACCGATCCGGTAGAGCTTAAGAGCCCCGACGCTTGTTCTGAAAGTTAATTTGCAATTATGTAGCATAGCCTTGGAAGTAAACATGGTAGCCCATCTTTCCATTCTGCCTACTCTTTCTACCATTCTTTATGCACTTTAGACACTTAAAGCTGCAATATGTAACTTTTTGGGTGACCGACCAAATTCACATAGAAATGTGTTATCTGTCATTCTAATTGAAAGCAAGGCTAAGAAGTGGTACATCTGTTCTATGTGCACTATTTCTATGCATCCCATCAAGTTTAATTTTTGCATCTTTTACTTTCGGGTTTGTACACCAGCTTCAAACAGCTGAAAATACAATATTTAAGGTTATGGAAAAATGTGATTCTCTACACTATACTTGCTTGTTTTGTCACAAACTGGAATTTTAGCGACCAGAAAATGGCGGCGCGATTTATGCACAGTGCGTCTTGATTTGCTGAAAAACAATAGTAATTCCCACAGGTTGTCCATGTGGGGGGTGTTATGAGGTTAGATTTTAATTGAAACCGCAATTAACCTTGTAATATTTCGTCCCTATGAACTGTACAGTGACTCTTTGCTAATTTAGGGAATATGGACAACATGTATTAAATGTTGTTTCTGTTGAAATGAGTCACATGGTTGTCAGAAACGAAGGGACTCTGTTCTAGTGTGATAAGGAAGGTTTGACGCCAACTGTGTGTAAACATCTACATAGTACTGTACTCAGAATTATAATTAAATATAGTGTAGTACTATTCCAAGTTGACATTTTTGGCTAAAACAATTGAGCAACGGTCTTGTTCAACATCCCTCATCTGTGCTTGACTGGTGTAAGCTTTATGCACCAGTTGTCATTTCCAATGAGATCATTTCTAGTTGGATTCAACACAATGAAAGTGAACATGAATTCTTAACACTTACTGAGACAGGCTGGATGACAACCTGTGTAATGGATCTTTCTATTGTTTAAAACTGTGAAGATGTGTACTTTCACAGAGAACAATTCACATTTTGACACTGTAATACAGGGTTTCCCCTATATTCATTTAAATATATATTTCTGCCAAGATGCGCTTTAAAAAAATATATTGAGTAGCTCCCTGTGTTTATGCTTACCATTTGTTGTAGTGGCTGCAGCTCAATCACCTCTTTCCGCCATAATAAAGTTTGTGCCTATTCAATGACATGGGGCTTGTGAAAGTGGACTTTGTCTACACATGAGAGGATCCGGACAATAAAATCGTCACAATCGTCTGTAAAACCCGAACCGTGTGAGCTACAAACTCATAAGTCACCACCATCAAAAGATGAGAGACTCACTAGTACTGCTCTACGACATCCACAAGCTTTAGGCAGTCGTCTGAATTCTCTGTCGCGGATGTCCTCATTTCGAAGAGGTCTTCGCACAAAACTGACCCTCCAGACCAAACCGTTGGAGCTACAAACTAATAACACCAATATCGAAAGGGGAGACTCACAAACACCAAGGTTTCTGTTGTTCTGCTCTACGATGCACACGATCTGAAGGTAACCCAGTACCGGGCTGTAAAAATGGCAAGAAGTTTATAGGGGGTAAAATGTGCCACGAATAACATGACCAAACATGGTTCTAAAATATGTATTTTTCCCCCGGAGTTTTCTTATATGTCACGGATATAGGACAGCCACTTTAAAACCTTGTTCCTTTATGATTATTTTTTTTAGCAGTAAAGGCCAAATTCAATGTTTCATCAAATATATTTTTTATATACATTTTGTTTTATACATACAGGGGTCCTAAAATTCCAAATAAAATGGCTAAATGATACATTTTATGACCATCTTAAAACAATTCCACATGTTAGCTTAGTAGATATTGCGATCTAAGGGCTTAGACTTACAGGGGTTTAAATGGATAGTCATTTGCTCAATGACTGGAAGTCAATGGGAACAGCTAGCATGTCATTGCGCAAGAAGCAATGCACCCCCCACCCTTGCCACCGCTGAAAAAAATACTAGGGGAAACTCTAATACTTTGCAATAGATATGTTTTCACATTAGATAACACTATTCTTACATTGCTTGTTAAATATTTTTGATAAACACATTAGGACAATAGTGACATTTCTTTGAGAGCACCTGGGGGTATATTTAAGGCCTAGCCTGTATATGAGTCTGAGGAGAGTGATGTTTCCTCATACTTTGTTTTCCCCCCTGGTTACAGGAACAGAAGGTATGGTTGCCATCATTATTGGTCACCGACGGGGCATGGAGATTGTTGAGCTGATCAGGCAAGGGATTCCAGTCTCAATGACCATTGAAGTGGGCAAGCAGCATGGTCCCTGGATGAGCCACTACTCGGTGTTCTTCGTCTCCATCTCCTTCTTCGTGGTAACAGCAGCCACTGTGGGCTACTTCATCTTCTACTCAGCCCGCCGCCTAAACAGTGTTCGTCTACAAAACCGCAAACAGGTCAGTCTCCAGTCTCTGGAACAATGACAACAATTATTTACCTTTAATTATATGTGCAGGGCTCCCTTACGAAAGAGACCCTTGTCTCAATGGTGACTCCCTGTTTAAATAAAGGTAAAATAAAACAAATTCAGTGGTTTGTGCTGAAATAGAATGCTGCAGCACTATCACCTTTTGATCTGTAGAACAATATGACTGGGGAAATTCCACTGCAAACAGTTGTTTTCTTTTCCTGAGTCAAACATAATCTTATACACACAAACATACCTTCCCTTGTGTGTGTTTCAACGAGCTGGAAACATTATGGAACACTTAGTTGGGCAACACAGTTTGGGGTGTGTCAGCATTCCTCAGCCATACAGAGAGGGAGTCAGGTGAAACTAAAATAAAGAGAACATTTCCTGTTGAGTCAGTGTCAGTGACTGCTCATCTATGTAGAGGTGATTAATCTATTATGTTAATCACTTGAGTTTGTTGCATGACATGGATCCAGCCAACCAGAGAGAACCTCTGGTCAGCAATGTATTTATTATAATGTCGTTTTCTGCCTTTGATCTTATGCTTTAGCTTCTCTCTGAAATCTGTGTTGTTTGGATAGAGCGGCAGTGAGTTTCCCTTCTGAAATATGAAGGGATGGTAGGAGTCCTGACTTGTGCTGGTATTCTTTCAGATGGTGACAGATTTCACAGTGTTTTGACTTTTACAGTTCTTTGCCCTTACAGCTTTGCCCATGTTATTTGTCCAAAGGTTTTGTCACATTGTATTCATTGAGTGTAAATGAACTGTCAGGCCTACAGTGGGGAAAAAAAGTATTTAGTCAGCCACCAATTGTGCAAGTTCTCCCACTTAAAAAGATGAGAGAGGCCTGTAATTTTCATCATAGGTACACGTCAACTATGACAGACAAAATGAGAAAAAAAAATCCAGAAAATCACATTGTAGGATTTCTAATGAATTTATTTGCAAATTATGGTGGAAAATAAGTATTTGGTCAATAACAAAAGTTTCTCAATACTTTGTTATATACCCTTTGTTGGCAATGACACAGGTCAAACGTTTTCTGTAAATCTTCACAAGGTTTTCACACAATGTTGCTGGTATTTTGGCCCATTCCTCCATGCAGATCTCCTCTAGAGCAGTGATGTTTTGGGGCTGTCGCTGGGCAACACGGACTTTCAACTCCCTCCAAAGATTTTCTATGGGGTTGAGATCTGGAGACTGGCTAGGCCACTCCAGGACCTTGAAATGCTTCTTACGAAGCCACTCCTTCGTTGCCCGGGCGGTGTGTTTGGGATCATTGTCATACTGAAAGACCCAGCCACGTTTAATCTTCAATGCCCTTGCTGATGGAAGGAGGTTTTCACTCAAAATCTCACGATACATGGCCCTATTCATTCTTTCCTTTAGTCGTCCTGGTCCCTTTGCAGAAAAACAGCCCCAAAGCATGATGTTTCCACCCCCATGCTTCACAGTAGGTATGGTGTTCGTTGGATGCAACTCAGCATTCTTTGTCCTCCAAACACGACGAGTTGAGTTTTTACCAAAAAGTTATATTTTGGTTTCATCTGACCATATGACATTCTCCCAATCCTCTTCTGGATCATCCAAATGCACTCTAGCAAACTTCAGATGGGCCTGGACATGTACTGGCTTAAGCAGGGGGACACGTCTGGCACTGCAGGATTAGAGTCCCTGGCGGCGTAGTGTGTTACTGATGGTAGGCTTTGTTACTTTGGTCCCAGCTCTCTGCAGGTCATTCACTAGGTCCCCCCGTGTGGTTCTGGGATTTTTGCTCACCGTTCTTGTGATCATTTTGACCCCACGGGGTGAGATCTTGCGTGGAGCCCCAGATCGAGGGAGATTATCAGTGGTCTTGTATGTCTTCCATTTCCTAATAATTGCTCCCACAGTTGATTTCTTCAAACCAAGCTGCTTACCTATTGCAGATTCAGTCTTCCCAGCCTGGTGCAGGTCTACAATTTTGTTTCTGGTGTCCTTTGACAGCTCTTTGGTCTTGGCCATAGTGGAGTTTGGAGTGTGACTGTTTCAGGTTGTGGACAGGTGTCTTTTATACTGATAACAAGTTCAAACAGGTGCCATTAATACAGGTAACGAGTGGAGGACAGATTAGCCTCTTAAAGAAGAAGTTACAGGTCTGTGAGAGCCAGAAATCTTGCTTGTTTGTAGGTGACCAAATACTTATTTTCCACCATAATTTGCAAATAGATTCATTAAAAATCCTACAATGTGATTTTCTGGATATTTTTTTCTCAATTTGTCTGTCATAGTTGACGTGTACCTATGATGAAAATTACAGGCCTCTCTCATCTTTTTAAGTGGGAGAACTTGCACAATTGTTGGCTGACTAAATACTTTTTTCCCCCACTGTATATGGTGGAGGAAAGTGTACTATGGGAAGAATTCTCAGTTCCACTCAAAGGTAGCGTTTCCAAAAAACCTTTGAACCTGCTGCTGCGTAACAAGTATTTCCACTTAATCTGATTGGATCTGGGCTGTTATGCAAGGTAAAACCACTCACGTGGACAGGACCATGATTTTCAAGGTTACAGTACTTTTTTCAGCACTGTTTATTACTCCTGCATATAGGGGGTAACCTTGACTGTGAAGACTGACTGGTCTCAAGTGCTTGCTTGCAGGCTCTGTTAACTTATTAGCAGTGTACCACATATTGTCCTTGCTTCATGATCACTCCCAGAAGCAGTGTAGCTCTGTGTTGTCTAAAGCACCCGGTGGTCTAAGGGGCGTCTGTTCACATGTGGCTGATTCTCCAATGCTTTCTGCAGGGAGGCTGGGTAGACAGACCGATACAGAGAAGTGTATTTTGGAGTGGGTAGCTGAGCAGTTAGAGCAGAGCTGACTTCGCCCACTGAGCTAGGACCTTATGCTCAGAGGGCACAGGGCACCATTGTTCAGGCTGTAATCATATGCAAAACTCCAGCTTCGTGCTCGCCCTGTGAACTAGAATGACCGCAACATGCCTCCCTCAAATCTACATATCAATCAAGTAAACATGCAACAGTATTCATTTTAATATATGCCCCTTTAAGGATTATGACAAATGTTGTCAAGCATCAAAACAGTCTGTGCCATGTTAGTCTTTGATATCCAAAACCCAACTCTTTCTATACTGAACAAAAACATAAACGCAACATGTGAAGTGTTAGTCCAATGTTTCATGAGCTGAAATTAAAGATCCCAGAAATGTTACATACTCACAAAAAGCTTATTTCTCTCATTTTGTGCACACATTTGTTTACATCCCTGTTAGTGAGCATTTCTTATTTGCCAAGATAATCCATCCACCTGACAGGTGTGGCATATCAAGAAGCTGATTAAACAGCATGATCATTACACAGGTGCACCTTGTGCAAGGGACAATAAAAGGCCACTCTAAAATGTGCAGTTTCGTCACACAACGCCACAGGGAGCATGCAATTGGCATACTGACTGTCGGAATGTTCAGCGGAGCTGTTGCCAGATAATTGAATGTTCATTTCTCTACCATAAGCCGCCTCAAATGTCGTTTTAGAGAATTTGGCAGTATGTCCAACTGGCCGCACAATCGCAGAACACGTGTAACCATGCCAGCTCCACATCCGGCTTCTACACCTGGGGGATCATCTGAGACCAGCCCACACGGACAGTTGATGAAACTGTGGGTTTGCACAATCGAATAATTTCTGCACAAACTGTCAGAAACCGTCTCAGGGAAGCTCATCTGCGTGCTCGTCTTCCTCACCAGGGTCTTGACCTGACTGCAGTCGTAACTGACTTCAGTGGGCAAATGCTCACCTTCGATGGCCACTGTCACGCTGGAGAAGTGTGCTTTTCACGGATGAATCCTGATTTCAACTGTACTGGGCAGATGGCAGATAGCGTTTTATGGTGTCGTGTGGGTGAGCGGTTTGCTGATGTCAACGTTGTGAACAGAGTGCCCTGTGGTGGTGGGGTTATGGTATGGGCAGGCATAAACTATGGAAAACGAACACAATTGTGTCACCCATTGAGCATATTTGGGATGCTCTGGATCGAAGTGTACAACAACGTGTTCCAGTTCCCGCCAATATCCACAACTTCTCACAGCCATTGAAGAGGAGTGGGACAACATTCCACAGGCCACAATCAACAGCCTGATCAACTCTATGCAAAGGAGATGTCTCGCTGCATGATGACTGGTTTTTGGATCTACGCCCCTACTTTTTCTTAAGGTATCTGTGACCAACAGATGCATATCTGTATTCCCGGTTGTGAAATCTATAGATTAGGGCCTAATGAATTTATTTCAAATGACTGATTTACTTATGAACTGTAACTCAGTAAAATCTTTGAAATTGTTGCATGTTGCGTTTTTATATTTTTGTTCAGTGTATATCACAGAAAATATCTACATGATGATGACATTCTCCAGAGAATCCTCAAAGCCAATGTTGTCCCTGACAGTGATGCCTCATCCTGTGTCTCCTAAGTCCCCTTACATAACGTAGATTCTTCCTGTGTGCCATTGTGCACATTTATTTTGTCTTGTTGCTATGGGGAGGCTGCATGAGCACAGAGTGAGCGGTCTTTAATTGTGTGTATGTCCAACGCATGATTTTATTGTACATTCCAAATTATAGTTTTAGAATTGAGTCCGTCACTCTGTCCCTCCAGGATTATTTTTGCCTAATACGAAAAGTCCCGGATGTACGTAAATCTGCTGTTTTGCCGTCCTATATACAAACTGATGTAACGTTTCCAATACATGATCTCAGAGGAACGGCTTAATGACACAGGCAGGGGCTGCTCTAATGAACGCTCTGCTACTCCCAGATCACCTATGTTCTCTAACATGACCTCATCGCATACGGTTCTCCTGCTCCTTCTTATTTCAACAATTTATGGTCACAGTACAGGAAATGAAAAAATAAATTGTTGGTGCAAAATGTTTGCTTTGTTGTTGGTGTTGCATTCTAGATATTACATAGTGATCTTTTGTTTAGTTTTTCAGTTGTCCAGTTGCTGAATGTGTTTGTTAATGAATTGTCAGAGGAAGCAGATGAATAATGTAATTTAAACAGCAGCCTGCTCACATTCTAATACTGAACACATTCTGCTCTCTACTCCAACAGAAACGTCTCAAGGCAGTGGCCAAGAAAGCCATTGGTCAGCTGCAAGTCCGGACCGTGAAACGGGGAGATGAGGTAAACATGTTCAAGTACAATACGGATGGGTTTATGGTTATTATGCATCACTTTGAGGAGCATATGCAAAATATGGTTGTTTCAAACTGGTAAAATATGGCATAGGCTATTTTTACTGATGTGTGTTGTATGGTTCTTGTTCTGAGAAAATGCTGAGTATGTAAGCTTCGTTTTAACCCATTACTCAGACTACAGCACTTTTTTCTTTTTTATGTGCTTTGTTCTTCTACAAATGTCACCAGAAAGCACCCCCACACCATAACACCTCCTCCATGCTTTACGGTGGGAAATACACATGCGGAGATCATCCGTTCACCCACACCGCGTCTCACAAAGACACAGCGGTTGGAACCAAAAATCTCCAATTTAGACTCCAGACCAAAGGACACATTTCCACCGGTCTAATATCCATTGCTTGTGTTTCTTGGCCCAAGCAAGTCTCTTCTTCTTATTGGTGTCCTTTAGTAGTGGTTTCTTTGCAGCAATTCGACCATGAAGGCCTGATTCACACAGTCTCCTCTGAACAGTTGATGTTGACATGTGTCTGTGACTTGAACTCTGTAAAGCATTTATTTGGGCTGCAATTTCTGAGGCTCGTAACTCTAATGAACTTATCCTCTGCAGCAGAGGTAACTCTGGGTCTTCCATTCCTGTGGCGGTCCTCATTAGAGCCAGTTTTATCATAGCGCTTGATGTCTTAAAAAATAATGATGGACTGTCGTTTCTCTTTGCTTATTTGAGCAGTTCTTGCCATAATATGGACTTGGTCTTTTACCAAATAGGGCTATCTTCTGTATACCACCCATACCATGTCACAACACAACTGATTGGCTCAAACGCATTAAGAAGGAAATAAATTCCACAAATTAACTTTTAAGAAGGCACACCTGTTAATTGAAATGCATTCCAGGTGACTACCTCATGAATCTGGTTGAGAGAATGCCAAGCGTGTGGAAAGCTGTCATCAAGGCAAAGGGTGGCTATTTGAAGAATCTCAAATATAAAATATATGTTGATTTGTTTAACACTTTTTTGGTTACTACATGATTCCATATGTGTTATTTCATATTTTGATGTCTTCACTATTATTCTACAATGTAGAAAATAGTAAATATAAAGGAAACCCTTGAATGAGTAGGTGTTCTAAAATGTTTGACCAGTAGTGTACATGTTCCCACGGGGGCCAGTATGAAAAATGTATGCACTCACTAATTGGAAGTCGCTCTGGATAAGAGCGTCTGCTAAATGACTAAACTGTAAATTGCATGTATGCTCAGTGTTGGGGTGATGACGTATTACAGTCAAAACGGCAGTCATGAGTCATGACCGCAGTAAAATGCCACGTGACCGTTGAGTCGCGGTAATCTCTGTTATGCACTCAGGCATGCGTTGGTAGGTCGCTAATGGCCTGGTACTCGGGGCTCTAATGTCCCTCTAACAACTGACATCAATGCAAACACGATCGAAAGTCATATCAAACACTTATCAAAACAGTATCATGCTTTTAAAACTCACATCACTGTGATGATCAATTTGAAGAAAGAAGTTCAAAAGCAGGTTGAAACCGAGTGTAAAACATGGTCATTGTGGATGCTGTTTCAAAGCCTAACACAACAAAATGGACAACACTTTCTAAGGTGGTGATTAATTCAAAACACCCATATGCATATTCAAGCTTATGAGCCCAAGCCCAAAAAAAACAGCCCTGCATTAAAATTATGATTGTGCTGTTATACAATACATAGCCTACGGCATATTACAAATGGCAGGAAAAACACAAAACAAAACTGATTTGAAGATGTCTTTGGCACATAATTGGTCTAGCCTATACTCCAAAATTAAACACATTTTAGGAATTGCCTTTGAGTGTGGACTGTATTATTATGCATACTGAATGGTCTGGGTTACATTATGCTATGCTCCAAACTTTCTATCCATGAGTCTGGGAGAGAAAGAATAGCAATTATAGTGAATTTGTATATGATTTTGAATAGCCTAGTAATAGGTCTTTTTTTTTTTTCTTCATAATTAATAGACTGACACACTACCTTTTTTTAAACTACAGAATATCTCACCACCACGCGTTTCCATCTCCTCTCTCTCATTTATTCCTTCCTCGAGCGCGGAGAGGGGCAGCGAAACAGTTTAGTGAAATATGTTTCGTTGCGAAAACATGTTACAATCGATGTTCCCGAACAGATTTAACTTGGTTTCCCAAATTAAGCACTGGGTAGCTGCAGGAACAGGGTTAGAACTCATGGCATACAGAGTTTGTGCGGAAAATCACCTGTCGCGCAGCGAGAGCATGCTCATCAAATAGTGGTTGACGTGTGGAGTGAAATAAGTGTTCTTATATTTAGTTCTCAGCTGCCCATATTAAGCACAGCTCCGCTATAAAACCAAAGTAGCCTATCCGGCATCATTAAAAAACGGACGGGCGGGAAAGCGCGGCCAACATTCGCTATTCGAGTGCATACGGATGACGTCTTTTTTCCCATGCCCCTGTTCATGCCCATTTGATAATGGGCCATTCTAAATCGAAACTAATTTGACATATTAGTAAAGACAAGATTAAACTGAGAATAGTCTAATGGGTGAAAATATGATCACTTGATGAGAGAACAGATGTGCAGCCCAAGGCAAGGAATGGAGCACAAGCTTTTTTTCAGACTTTGTCAAATCATCAATAGCCTATAGTCGCATCATGCAGCCCATATATGTTTTCATTTCTAAGACATTTTAAGGTTTGTATCATTCACAACTAAAGTTGCCAAGTAACTCTAAATATAGTGTATAGGACCCGTTTCAAATGATCACTTTTATGCTCAATATAGCCACTTCATATGCACACTTGCTCCAAAATGGGAAAAATATCCTTTCTATTTTATTCAGCTAAGTTCAATTATATACTTTACATTTAAATTTAAGTCATTTAGCAGACGCTCTTATCCGGAGCGACTTACAAATTGGTGCATTCAACTTAGGATAGCCAGTGGGACAACCACCACTGGGGGAGGGGTGGTGTAGAAGGATTACTGTTATACTATTCCAGGTATTCCTTAAAGGGGTAGGGTTTCAAGTGTCTCCGGAAGGTGTTCAGTGACTCTGCTGTCCTGGCGTCGTGGGGGAGCTTGTTCCACCATTGGGGTGCCAGAGCAGCGAATAGCTTTGACTGGGCTGAGCGGGAACTGTGCTTCGGTAGAGGTAGGGGGGCTAACAGGCCAGAGGATGATGAACGTAGTGCCCTCGTTTGGGTGTAGGGTTTGATCAGAGCCTGAAGGTAAGGAGGTGCCGTTCCCCTCACAGCTCCGTAGGCAAGCACCATGGTTTTGTAGTAGATGCGAGCTTCAACAGGAAGCCAGTGGAGTGTGCGGAGGAACGGGGTGACATGAGAGAACTTGGGAAGGTTGAATACCAGACGGGCTGCAGCGTTCTGGATAAGTTGTAGGGGTTTAATGGCACAGGCACTTCTTATACTTCTTACTAGAAAATAATGGCAAGGGACTTAGAAGCATATCTTGTCAGCTAAATGAACAAGCCTACAGCCTATGGCATGAGCATAGCCAGAAAACATACAGTATGCCAACTTATATTATGTTCTTCTAAAATAAATGTTATTCATATCCTAATATTTCTTTAAGACCTGGCTAAAATAAATAATGGATTTATTGTGATGGTGTATATTAAATTGATTTGTTAGACTTTTTAAATGTAGATGTTCCAAAGGCCACAGTTCCAAAGGCCACATTAGTGGCTTGAATGCAGCGTGGATGCCTGGAGATGCTAAACTTGTTTATGTTAATTAATGGGCAATTACCGTGAGACCCGCAGACTTTTGCATGACAATAACCGGCTGACAAAGTTTCATGACCGCCACAGCCCTAGTCACTACAATATATATTTGTACCTGTTTTTCAGGAGACTGGGCCTGATGCTGACACCTGTGCAGTGTGTATTGACGCTTACAAGTCTGGCGACGTGCTGACCATCCTCACCTGCAAGTAAGTGCCTAACTGTAGTGTTTTTTTGCTTGTTTAGTATTGACACATGGAGTACAGTAGGCCTACCCCTGTCTGCTATTACAATTCCCTTAATTTTGTGATGGTCATCATGATTCTTGTTTTCCTTTCCAGTCATTTCTTCCACAAGAACCTGCAATTGAGTCCCTGGCTACTTGGAGCAACGGAACGTGCCCCATGTGTAAATGGGAACATCCTCAAGTGCCGTGGGAGTAGAGGTAGGCAACTGTACCTTGCATCATGTCCTCGGCATTACCCTGTACTTTGAAATAACCTTTGCCTGTCATTCACTGAAGTTTTAAATACTGTTGTAGATTAAACACAGTATTTTACCCATTTAAAAACCATCCATGTATCCCTGCACAGTCCTGGCAACCCCTGTACCATGTCGAATGACCTTTAGCGCCCGTCCAGTTCACCGAGTGTACAATTAGCTGTTGTCCAGAAAACACAGATCAGCGCTACGCCCCATTGTTAGAGAAAGCAAAACTTTGGCATATTGAAAGCTGTATACACAAGAATATATGTTTTTAGAGTATTTTCCACATCATAACTGTCACAGACGTGAGGAGACAACCCTTCATTCAGGTGGCCATGGCTACCATGTGCAGGTTCCTGAAGACCGCGGGTTCTTTCCTTAGTTTCCAAGATACCCAGTAGACTCATATCCTCAACTATGCCTTGTCCCCGCACATGAGAGCAACGCACCCCACGATAAGCCTCCACACTATTATTAGTAGTATAGCCACCATTCACATTAATATTTTTACTGCGTCTTTATTCATCACATTTTGTGTTTTTGATTACTTTTTTTTCAAATAAATGCATGTTGGTTAAGGGGCTAAGTAAGCATTTCACTGTAATGTCTGCACCTGTTGTCTTTGGAAGATGCAGGCTTTCAAGTTACCTTGATAATGTGTTAAAGCCACAACCCTATGCACCCCTGCTCAAGACCGTGTGGGTTTTGCCACCTATGTTTGAATTCTAGTGGTTAGATATTCCTGTTACTGAATTTTTCAGATACTTTTTTTGTTTAGTTAGTTTGATTGCTGCAAGTAGATATCAGAGTTCACTACAAAGTATATTCCTGATCAAACAACCAGTATTGTTGTTACTGTCTGGGGCTGAAGTGCCTCCTTTCAGTTTCCCTCCTCGCTCTTTAGCTTGCCTATCCATTGACCTCTGTATGAGCCATTGTGCCAAAATATATAATGACCGGCAGGTTGGTTCTTGTACGGTTTGCTAGCAGCACTTATGAGGCTTGACTGACTGGTAATCATGTTTGTGTTGCAGCATTGGGGCACTATCCTGACCCTGGGTCAGTCCAGGTGGACATCCAGCCCCATTATGACAACCTGGCCTTCGAGGGCGACTCAGGAAACAAACTGGAACCCCGGACATGAACAGCATGCTCACTCCAAGCACTGGAGCTTGGCTAATGGGACTTGCGCCACAATCAATTACATTCAAAGATGTTGTTTCCTGTGGTCATGAAGCAAGTGAAACTAGGAGTGTGGGTCTGAGATTATTCATAGGAAAAGAGGCCTCGACCTACCTATGCATATCATTTTAACATTAAATTGATGAGGCAATTCTTCGATGCACTTACCACTATCTAAGTTAGGAAATTGTACTGTTCACTCTTGTTCAAATCCAGTTTCATTCTTATTTGAATTTAATTGTACTTATAATGATTTATTCGATTACGTTTGAGGTTTAATTACTTCAGTCAATGGATCACATGATCAATTAGGTACAGATTTTTAAATTGTATGTTTTTTTTAAAGCTAATTTCACACCCACAGGTTACTGGGATTAGACTACTCTCCAAGTGTCTGTTTTAATGGGGTATTATAGGTGACAGTTCCCATGACAACGAAAGTTTGTGGCGATGTGCAAATTCAATTTCAAAACGTACAATAATGCAGTAGTTAGTGCAAGGCATTTTCTGATAAGGTTTGCTGCTGTAAAAATTCTCATACTATTTTTTGCATGGAAAATTACTTTGACAGCAAGCACCGCTATACAAAGCTCAGTTTTACCTCTGGGATGCATTGATTTTATTTCAATCATAAGCATAGGATGTTAGCCTCTCTAGAACATACCTTGGTTTTCCTTGTCTAGCAGAGGAGAGCATAAGATTATGTGAGGAACATTCCAGTTTCGAAATATAGATTTGTCTCATTGTTGCTAATTGATTGTACATGTAAATTTGGTTTGCCACTTGTTTGAGGTAAATCCCAAAATGAGGGACTGCTTCCACCTGCTGTATGCTTGTGACATTACAATTTCTTACGTGCTCTGGCACACCCCCATGCCCAGCGATTCCTGATCTGTAGCTACATGTCTCTTCTTTTTTGTCTGTTATGAGGGTGATGCATGTTAGGAATGGTATTTTTAAACTTGGAAATACTGAGTCTGGATATGGCAGTAAGAGCATTTCTTTAAACCCCCTGGCTTCATTCAAATATTTGTACATGCGTTTCAGTAACTATCTGTGCTTTTTGGGTGTGTGCCTTAAAATGATTCACCAGTGCAAGATCTATTCCATGCCATCCTACTTTAATAGAAAAATGCAATGAGGTCACTGTATATTTTCAACTAGATTGTGCATGCACTTTACATGAATTAATTGATTACAATGTCAATAGTCTTAACCTTGTTCAGCCTTTCCAGAGTAAATGTCTATAGTCTTAAGTATTTTTGCTTAAATAAGGGACAAAGGTTATTCATTATTTTCTTTTACTCAGTTATGTGGGAAATGTAGTAATAACTGGTATATATTCATAAAATACTTTGACAATATTGTAAATACATTTTGGTTTGATCCAAATATTGCTTTGTGCTAATTTGTTCATTTTGTTTATAAAATTGATAAATGTTCTAATCGTCATTCACTAGTGATGCAATTAATTGGCAGAAAAGGCCATGCTCACCTCACAGTTGAGAAACAAGTTCATTGGGCAAATAGGCAGGGAAGGGTGTAATGGCAATTTAGTGGTATTTACTGTACGCTGCCCTGTAGGCTGTTATTTTTCTAATTATAATGCAAAAATTAGGGACATTATTAGTATTCCTAGTGTCAGTCAATTATATCAGCTGCACTTGACCATAGAAAGACTACATATTTATCAGTGTTGTGTTCGAGACCACCTAAAGCGAGACCGATTCAAGATCAAGACTGGAGAAAATCGAATCCGGGTCAAGACCGGGGGGGGGGGGGGGGGGGCAAGAGAAGACTGGGAGGGGGACAAGGGGTCCGAGACAGAGTCAAGACCGCGACCAGAAAAATGTGAGTCCAATTCAAGACCATGATTGTAATTTTGTCAAAATAAGAGTTCAAAATGTCCAGTATTTCTGTGTTCATATTTCAGAACAATGTATGGGATTATTTAGACGTTCAGAATAGTGAAAACATGCTTGCTGAGGTAAAATGGAGCCACTACAAATTATTACTAACCCAAACACAGTGGGGAACAATGGGCCTTCTACTACTGAAGAGAAGGGCTAAGGATTTATTAAATAATTATTATAATAATAATACTATTATTTTCAATGATGCAGAGCCCCCACCTGTTTGCCTAAAAAAATATATACAGTGGGGAGAACAAGTATTTGATACACTGCTGATTTTGCAGGTTTTCCTACTTAAAAAGCATGCAGAGGTCTGTAATTTTTATCATATGTACACTTCAACTGTGAGAGATGGAATCACATTGTATGATTTTTAAGTAATTGCATGACATAAGTATTTGATCACCTACCAACCAGTAAGAATTCCGGCTCTCACAGACCTGTTAGTTTTTCTTTAAGAAGCCCTCCTGTTCTCCACTCATTACCTGTATTAACTGCACCTGTTTGAACTCGTTACCTGTATAAAAGACACCTGTCCACACACTCAATCAAACAGACTCCAACCTCTCCACAATGGCCAAGACCAGAGAGCTGTGTAAGGACAAGGCTGGGATGGGCTACAGGACAATAGGCAAGCAGCTTGGTGAGAAGGCAACAACTGTTGGCGCAATTATTAGAAAATGGAAGAAGTTCAAGATGACAGTCAATCACCCTCAGTCTCGGGCTCCATGCAAGATCTCACCTCGTGGGGCATCAATGATCATGAGGAAGGTGAGGGATCAGCCCAGAACTATGCGGCAGGACCTGGTCAATGACCTGAAGAGAGCTGGGACCACAGTCTCAAAGAAAACCATTAGTAACATACTACCCCGTCATGGATTAAAATCCTGCAGCGCACGCAAGGTCCCCCTGCTCAAGCCAGCGCATGTCCAGGCCCGTCTGAAGTTTGCCAATGACCATCTGGATGGGAGAAGGTCATGTGGTCTGATGAGACAAAAATAGAGCTTTTTGGTCTTAACTCCACTCGCTGTGTTTGGAGGAAGAAGAAGGATGAGTACAACCCCAAGAACACCATCCCAACAGTGAAGCATGGAGGTGGAAACATCATTCTTTGGGGATGCTTTTCTGCGAAGGGGACAGGACGACTGCACTGTATCGAGGGGAGGATGGATGGGGCCATGTATCACAAGATCTTGGCCAACAACCTCCTTCCCTCAGTAAGAGCATTGAAGATGGGTCGTGGCTGGGTCTTCCAGCATGACAACGACCCAAAACACACAGCCAGGACAACTGAGTGGCTCCGTAAGAAGCATCTCAAGGTCCTGGAGTGGCCTAGCCAGTCTCCAGACCTGAATCCAATAGAAAATCTTTGGAGGGAGCTGAAAGTCCGTATTGCCCAGCGACAGCCCCGAAACCTGAAGGATCTGGAGAAGGTCTGTATGGAGGAGTGGGCCAAAATCCCTGCTGCAGTGTGTGCAAACCTGGTCAAGACCTACAGGAAACGTATGATCTCTGTAATTGCAAACAAAGGTTTCTGTACCAAATATTAAGTTCTGCTTTTCTGATGTATCAAATACTTATGTCATGCAATAAAATGCAAATTAATTACTTAAAAATCATACAATGTGATTTTCTGGATTTTTGTTTTAGATTCCGTCTCTCACAGTTGAAGTGTACCTATGATAAAAATTACAGACCTCTACATGCTTTGTAAGTAGGAAAACCTGCAAAATCGGCAGTGTATCAAATACTTGTTCTCCCCACTGTACATATACACTACCGGTCAAAAGTTTTAGAACACCTACTCATTCAAGGGTTTTTCTTTACTATTTTCTACATTGTAGGATAATAGTGAAGACATCAAAACTATGAAATAACACATGGAATCATGTAGTAACCAAAAAAGTGTTAAACAAATCAAAATATATTTGATATTTGAGATTCTTCACATAGCCATCCTTGAAGGAGTTCCCACATATGCTGAGCACTTGTTGGCTGCTTTTCCTTCACTCTGCGGTCCGACTCATCCCAAACCATCTCAATTTGGTTGAGGTCGGGGGATTGTGGGGGCCAGGTCATCTGATGCAGCACTCCATCACTCTCCTTCTTGGTAAAATAGCTCTTACACAGCCTGGAGGTGTGTTGGGTCATTGTCCTGTTAAAAAACAAATGATAGTCCCACTAAGCCCAAACCAGATGGGATGGCGTATCGCTGCAGAAAGCTGTGGTAGCCATGCTGGTTAAGTGTGCCTTGAATTCTAAATACATCACAGACAGTGTCACCAGCAAAGCACCCCCACACCATAAAACTTCCTCCTCCATGCTTTACGGTGTGAAATACACATGCAGAGATCATCCGTTCACCCACACCGTGTCTCACAAAGACACAGCGGTTGGAACAAAAATCTCCAATTTGGACTCCAGACTAAAGGACAAATTTCCACCGGTCTAATGTCCATTGCTCGTGTTTCTTGGCCCAAGCAAGTCTCTTCTTCTTATTAGTGTACTTTAGTAGTGGTTTCTTTGCAGCAATTCGACCATGAAGGCCTGATTCACACAGTCTCCTCTGAACAGTTGATGTTGAGATGTGTCTGTTACTTGAACTCTGTGAAGCATTTATTTGGGCTGCAATTTCTGAGGCTGGTATCTCTGATTAACTTATCCTCTGCAGCAGCGGTAACTCTGGGTCTTCCATTCCTGTGGCGGTCCTCATGAGAGCCAGTTTCATCATAGCGCTTGATGGTTTTTGCGACTGCACTTGAAGAAACTTTAAAAGTTCTTGAAATGTTCCGTATTGACTGACCATCATGTCATGATGGACTGTCGTTTCTCTTTGCTTTTTTGAGCTGTTCTTGACATATGGACTTGGTCTTTTACCAAATAGGGCTATCTTCTGTATACCCCCCTACCTTGTCACAACACAACTGATTGGCTCAAACGCATTAAGAAGGAAAGAAATTCCACAAATTAACTTTTAATAAGGCACACCTGTTAATTGAAATGCATTCCAGGTGACTACCTCATGAATCTGGTTGAGAGAATTCCAAGAGTGTGCAAAGCTGTCATCAAGGCAAAGGGTGGCTATTTGAAGAATCTCAAATGTAAAATATATTTTGATTTGATTAACACTGTTTTGGTTACTACATGATTCCATGTGTTATTTCATAGTTTTGATGTCTTCCCTATTATTCTACAATGTAGAAAATAGTAAAATAAAGAAAAACCCTTGAATGAGTAGGTGTTCTAAAACTTTTGACCGGTTATTTTTGTTGTTGCCTGTTTTGCATGTTATTTTGGCATTATTACGTGTCACATGTCAGTTTGCAAACAATTTAAACATTTAAAAAAACGGAGTTAATAAAGCTGCATACAAACAGGGTCTCTTTTTTGCTTTCTTGAGTAAGGCAGCTCCAAAATGCAGGTGTTTCAGCCTAGCTCAGTGCTTTCTGTGGTGGTGGGGCAGCCAGCGGAAAATACTGAGCGTAGGGGTTGGTAATGTTCTCTAGTTGCGTCGTGATTGGCTCCATGTTCTGTCAGTCAAGGGGACACTACTTCACCACAAAATCTACTGGGAGAGCTAGAAAATTCAAGCCCCTTGGGTGCTGCCATAGAGTTACATTGGAAGTGCCCATCCAAGAAGGCTCAAGGTCATTGGCCACAGATAAGATGACGTCAAATCACGTTATATCCACAGTAGCTTTGATTGGACTGATCATGTCAACATCATACTTTCAAAATCTTAGCTAGTAGTCATCATCATGAATCAAGTCGACAATCTACTGGCAAATCCTTTTCAGTCCTTGTCATATGAAGAGAAATTATGAAGAGAAATTATAGATAAAACGTATCGGTGGACATAAAAATTACACAACAAGTTGGAAATTTGCAAATTCAACAATTGAGTGGTTTGGAAGGAATCAGTGGCTAACTGCAAGCATTTCAAAGCAATCACTAGCCTGCTATTCAGTGGAGTGGATGTGTGGTCCAAGTCTGGGTTTAAGGGTCTCTTTTCCAAGCTTAAAAGGATAAACATTCAACATTGGCCATGCTGTCAATCCAGCTTGACTTCTGCCGCTTTCAAAAACTTCAGTGAGTTCAAGACAACTGGGAACTCTGAAAAAAATTAGCTCCAACTGGGAAAATACGTTATGAACGGTCATCCAACGGCATTCCAAGTCGGGAACTCTGGCCTCTTTCTAGAACTCCGACCTGAAGATCACTAACGTCATGATTCAAACTTTTTTTCAGAGTTCCCAATTGTCTTGAAAGCACCATAAATCCATAGAATGCCAGACTTTGAGGACAAAGTTTGATGACAAAATTTGCCCCCGAAAGACCGCCACACCACCTTCCTGTTCAAGTGAGCACAGCAGAACAAAGTGAGTCCAAAAATGTATTGTATGCTTCTGCATAAATTATGTTATATGCCAGGGAGATATGTATACTGTAGTTAAGAAAGTAATACTAAGTGTATGTTGTGTAGTAAGCTGTTAGTAGCCCATGTGCCTCACCCTAATAATTTGGTCCCTTTTCCCCTCATAACTTAGCCTACTGTTCTGACTTGGTGGTGCACATGTAGCCTATAGCCTGTATTAGAGAAATGTAATCATCGAATATTGTAAGAGCTTTCATTGTCTGCTTATATGCCCCCTTTATTTATCCTACGGTTCTGACTTGGAATACTGTAAGAACGGCCCATGTTCTGAATTCTGTCACTGTACATTTCAAAGGTGCTGAACAAATAGTTATATTGACTACGTCGGTCCTAGATCGCTGTATTAATGTCTTAATCAAAATTACGGATTGTCTCTTATCCGCTCGTCGTCGCCTTATGCCATAGTTTGTACATTTCAATTGTCAGTAGAAACCACATTTGTTTCAGCAAGTCAGCCATATCAGCTATGTTTTTGAAAAGGCAGTAAATGAGGCTGAATTAACTGTTTCGCTGCCAGACAAGGCTCTGCTGATAGCCAGGTGTAATAGTGGTAATGTGTTGGGACTGCTGTTGGGACAGCTTTACAGTGAGGGAAAAAAGTATTTGATCCCCTCCTGATTTTGTACGTTTGCCGACTTACAAAGACATGATCAGTCTATAATTGTAATGGTAGGTTTATTTGAACAGTGAGAGACAGAATAACAATAAAAACATTTATTGATTTGTATTTTAATGAGGGAAATAAGTATTTGACCCCTCTGCAAAACATGACTTAGTACTTGGTGGCAAAACCCTTGTTGGCAATCACAGAGGTCAGACGTTTCTTGTAGTTGGCCACCAGGTTTGCACACATCTCAGGAGGGATTTTGTTCCACTCCTCTTTGCAGATCTTCTCCAAGTCATTAAGGTTTCGAGGCTGACACTTAGCAACTCGAACCTTCAGCTCCCTCCACAGATTTTCTATGGGATTAAGGTCTGGAGACTGGCTAGGCCACTCCAGGTCCTTAATGTGCTTCTTCTTGAGCCACTCCTTTGTTGCCTTGGCCGTGTGTTTTGGTTCATTGTCATGCTGGAATACCGATCCACAACCCATTTTCAATGCCCTGGCTGAGGGAAGGAGGTTCTCACCCAAGATTTGACGGTACATGGCCCCGTCCATCGTCCCTTTGATGCGGTGAAGTTGTCCTGTCCCCTTAGCAGAAAAACACCCCCAAAGCATAATGTTTCCACCTCCATGTTTGATGGTGGAGATGGTGTTCTTGGGGTCATAGGCAGCATTCCTCCTCCTCCAAACACGGCGAGTTGAGATGATGCCAAAGAGCTCGATTTTTGTCTCATCTAACCACAACACTTTCACCCAGTTCTCCTCTGAATCATTCAGATGTTCATTGGCAAACTTCAGACGGCCCTGTATATGTGCTTTCTTGAGCAGGGTGACCTTGCGGGTGCTGCAGGATTTCAGTCCTTCACGGCGTAGTGTGTTACCAATTGTTTTCTTGGTGACTATGGTCCCAGCTGCCTTGAGATCATTGACAAGATCCTGATTGAGAGGGGGTCAAATACTTATTTCCCTCATTAAAATGCAAATCAATTTATAACATTTTTGACATGCGCTTTTCTGGATTTTTTTGTTGTTATTCTGTCTCTCACTGTTCAAATAAACCTACAATTGAAATTATAGACTAATCATTTCTTTGTCAGTGGGCAAACGTACAAGATCAGCAGGGGATCAAATACTTTTTTCCCTCACTGTATGTAGGCCCTAATAGTTTGTGGGCATCGTTTGTCACCGTTATAGTCCAATGAATGTATTGTTTAGTGGCTTTGCTGGCATGCATGTAAAAAAAATTTTTTTGAGTTTGCCCCACCAACATTTACATGCTAAAATCGCCACTGAACTGACAGCATTTTTAGCAACATGAAATCTTATTACAATCTGTTCATATACAACCCCAGGAAGAATTACACTTTTTAAACATTTTCTGACAAGCGACCACTTAGATATGGTAATTTTCACGTTTTCATAAATTCTTAGAATGTTTGAGAATTACGTATACTAAGGCATTTGTGAAAATTCTATGGCAATGTAGCATGGTAAAAGGGCTGTGAGTTTTGACAATTAATAGACAATGCAGTAAATAAAACCGAATAAAAACATCTGTCTTGTCCAGGACCGGAGTCTACACAGACCGGTGCGCTATAGCCAACCAGAGCTACAGTAGGCCTTTATACGAACTAGCCATTTGCTTCTACAGGTTGTTGGTGGCACCTTAATTGGGGAGAACCGGCTCGGGATAATGACTGGGGCGGGATCAGTGGAATTATATCAAATACATCAAACACATGGTTTCCAGGTGTTTGATGCCATTCCATTTGCTCCGTTCCGGCCATTATTATGAGCCGTTCTCCCTAACTGATCTAAAGTCGCACTGTTGCAACTGTAAACACAAAGTAAGGTTCAAAGTGAATGATGGCAGGCCGGTGTGGCGTGGCGAACAGTCTGTTTGGGACCGGAGTAACAAAGCACCCGCTGCTCGTTGAGAAGAGTAAAAACGAGTCTCCAATAACACCAGAAAAAGTCGCTAGATTTGTCGCTAGTCGCTTTTTTGAAAATGTGTCGCTAGAGGGGTCTGAAAACACGTTAAATATAGCGACAAAGTCGCTAAATTGGCAACACTGTAGTGTGGGGCGCGCATGTGAATATATGTCACGTGCTTTGCGATTGTGTAGTCTTTGTGGATGATTTCTCCATTGTACTACATCATTGATAAATCGTATACCTCCACTACACTACATTGATACGCATCAATAGGGATTAAGAAGTGAGTATACGCAATGCCACTGAAAAAAAGTGGGTATACGGTTTATACCTGCGTATACCCTCCACTACACCACTGTCCATTACAAAAAGTGCTCTCTCCTACATGAATGCGCTGGTATTTGTTACAGTATTTTGCACTTTGAAGTTATAAAATTTGATACTTTTCAACCGAGAAGGACAATGGGAAATCAAGTCTACAGTATCAAGCGAATTCATTCTTCTGCATACACCCACCAATGTCAAGAAACTACAATCCCCAGAAGTCCCTTGTATCGTTGACTTTGGCAAGGTTTCTGTCGACGTGGGAAAGGGTCTGCTTAGTGCTCACACAAACAAATGTCCATGGGTATAGGTTGCAATAGAAATGAACAAATTGACATGCACATTGGATTCAACAAATATATGTGAATTGAAATATGTGGCTTAAACCTGAAGAGATATTGCTGAAAAATGCATTCAAGTTATGGGTGACAGAAAAAAGCAACGATTATTTCGTATTACAAAGGAGGCGAGGATATGGAGAAGGAGGAGGCGGTTTGACAGGTATGTGTTCTGTTCTTTGCTGGTCTGGTAAAACTCAGTGACACCGCAATGACATTCTAGCAAAGTGTGCATGCCATCGGACAAGAGTTCATATTTCCGGTCTATTTTAGAATGTCCCCCTTCAGATTCTGTCATGTAATCATAGGGGTGGGAGACAGACAGTTCTCCAGATCCGCGTGTCAAATGGACAGGCTGGACTCCAAACGTTAGCTTAGATTGCAATAGGTATTGCAATGTAACAATTTACAGCTGGGCTATTCAACCGGGGGTCCGCGGCCCCCTATAGGTCTGCCTAGATATTGCAGGGGTTCTGCGAAAATGTTTTTTGTTGTTGTGTGGATTCCCCCCCATGTTTTTATGAATATTGCTAGCAACAACAGAGTAAACACATTTTGAATGACATACCTACAGTAGATCTAATTTCTAATGATGTCAACTTTATTTCTCAACTCCTAATTTTGACAAAATTACACTAATTGGAGCCAATTACACTCACTGGAGTATCTGACAGGCTTTGAAAAAGCAGCCGCGAATAGGCTACTAGTGTGGCAAGTGCTGCTAGTAAGCTTTCTTGACTTGGACATTATTTTTTGCCAACACATGGCTAACCTTTTCTTAACCAGCTAAACAGCTACTCTTAGCGAAAATGTGTTTAGAGTTCCCTTTCTAGCTAGAATTTACACTTCCTCTTCCAATTATGTGGGAAGGTCAAAATAATTTTAAAAAACTACACCAAATCTATTCATTTTAAAATGTTTATTAATTATCCTTGACATTATCATTCACCTGATAAGACGGGAAAAAACGAATGTTTTGCTAACGTATGATGGGGGTCCCTGGGTTGCCGGTTTGCCTGGGAGGGTGTCCCTGGGCAAGAAAAGGTTGAAGACCCCTGGTTTATAGTATAGCCTGCCTACGATGCAGATTATTTACTTTGTTACCACTGACTGAGCCATCAACAAAATTGCCTCTGTTGTTTAGGCTACAAACCACTGTCACAACACTTGATGATGCTGTCTGAGATGTCTGTTGTTTTGGTACACACACACACACACACAAAATGACACAGTAGTGTCATATTGGGTTGCCGACATTTGCTTTAGCTTTATGGGTGGAGCAATAGGCTATACTGAGGGCACACAGCACTTCTGTATGAGAATGTACTCAAGCATGATACTCTAGAGGCAGAAGAGCCAGGGCAGTGCTCATCCATTCCATAGGGTCTGTCTGGTCTACTGATTCCCAGCATCTGAAATGGGAAGATTCTACATTATGAAAATAGTGTTTGTTGATCTTTGAGATCAATGCTGCGCTATTTTATAACACATTGATCCTCCTTCACCATGCAGGTCTGCAGTCAGTGAACACGTTAACATGCGCACAGTGTTCCGGATAGTAGCTTATATCCCGCTTAAAGTCTTATTCAGGGATAAGCTGTTTACATGCACCTTTGATATCCCGCTCACTAGTATCCCTATAACCATGAATAAACAAGATATTCCTAATTTAAATTCATATTGGTTAAATGAAATAACTGCAATATGGACACTGACTGTAGGCCTATAACCTCTCACATGTAGCATAAAATAATATTTCATTTCTTACAGTAAAATTATACAACAAATGTTGATTTTTGCTCGGGAACAGGATTGGAGAAATATTATTTATTTATTTCAACATCTCTTGAGAAAATGCGAATGCGCATGTAATGTGTTATCTTTGACACTGTTATGCAAGCAGACAGTATTTCAACCACATACAATATGTGCCCAAGACGAACTGAAGTCTTATCAGAAACGTGTTTCATCGTTTTCTCAGCTTGTCATTTCCTTAAAACCGGTCAAACTGATGACATTTTGATATTTTGCACAGGACCAACCTTTCCACTGTTTTGGAGTTATTGCGTTTTCTCTCTGGTCTCTAAACAAAACAGACAACTTTATCGGTGTTAACTAGATTACTAATGCATTCATTCTATCGATGTAAGACATTATTATAGTGAGCACTACTTTATTTAGTGTTTTAGGGCAACAAGTTATGACAGAAGAGAAGCTACACGTATCTAACTATAGTTGACAAGCAAATGGCCTACCAAATGTCCGAAATTATAATAGGGCCTACCAAATGTCGGAAATTATAAGCAGAAACGGTCCAGTACGGACTAGCCTATCAGCAAAATAATTGATTATGGAATTATTGGTTCGAACTGCGCAGGTAGCCTACTTTATGAAGTGATTTGTTTGACAATCAGATAAAAACATCATCACACAACACCATTAATATATGAAACTGAGCCTGAGCAAACCGCGAAAAACAACAGTAAACAGGATAAGATGTTTACATGCCACAGTATCCCGTCTAAAATCAGCATATCCCAGGCATTTTATCCGGGTTTCTCATAACCGGGATACAAGCTTTTTCGGGTTATTGTAAATGGGAAATGATGTTTTATATGCGTCAACTCAAAAACAGAATACTTGAGTATCCCAAATAATAGTGGGATATTGTTGTGCATGTAAACGTGGTCATTCTATCAATTACACCAAGAGTGAGTAGGCTACCTTGTTTGCTGTAATGCAATAATTGAATGTCAGCTTTAGGTTTCCCAACAATAGTACGTTTTCTTGCACATGGTCACACACAGCCTCTGATAGGCCAATTATCAGCTGTTGATCACAGTTATCCACTTGACTGAAACAGCATAGCTAACTTTCACATTTGCCTCATCTCTAAAACTAAAAATAGCAATCTGGTGGCCTTCTAGTCTATTGAAGCTGACGTGCCAGTGGATGTAGCCTACCGATAGTAATGGTAGATGTCTTTGTCAAAAAGACTGACACTGAGAACATCAGAGCTATAATAACAGGTAATGAATGGGTTTGATGAAGTGAAACACAATAGCTTTCTCCTCTGACTGGGCTAATGATGGTGGAGGACCACCAGTGTCTGCTCTCCTCCTGTTCAATGCCTCCCCTGAAGCCCCCTCCAACTCAAGGACCTTTTTAATCCTGAAGTATCCAGATGTAAATCTCAAATGGCCACAGGGCAGAGAGCAGGCTATTATTTAGTAATACCTGCTCGATTAATTGGGCCCTTGCATATGCACAGGTTTTTCAGCAGAAATTCAGCCAAACTTTTATAATAGATGATTTACAGGGGGAAACGAACTCTGTAATCAGTTCATAGATGTGGTCTAGTCCACCAGCCGGCTCTTGGTAGCAATTAGCCTGGGGGCGAGGTTAAGGCCACTGTACAGCTGTGTCATGAGCCCCCAGCCCAGCAGCCATAGATTCTGCTGATGCAGTCGGGCCAGGATAGCAGTAAAGGCCTTGCTCTGACCTTGTTAATAATTTATGAAGGCCACTACAGTCCTAGATAGGTAACACAACACTGTTGATTTGAACCACAGACAGGCAGGGCACTTGAATGTGATAATCAGCACAATATCCGTTGAGTTTTCCACTGTTCCATGTTCCATGATTGATAACCCAGGTGGGAGGGCTGTTTTGTTTGCTAGATACTGTACAATCAATAGGCATGAAATTGCCTCATGATTTTAAAATGTCTCATCATGCATGTCTAATGTGTGACTGTTAAGGGGAAGTATGATTGCTACTTAATTTTTTTGACAGGTCTCCTTGTTGGAACTCTTGATACGATGCTGGATTCCACGTCTAAGGTCGCTCCATTTCGCATTCTACACCAGACACTGGACTCTCAGGTCTACTGGTCAATAGCATGTGGTGAGAGTTTTTGCTCTACACTTTCTCAACTATCCCCTGTTCAGTCAGAATAGCCACAATGTAAACATTATAGGCTACAGTAATGTATTAACTGACTACAATCATGTAATAACAACCTTTTCGGATTGTATTTTAGTCGACACTCATTTCCCATTTTTTAACAAAATAGATGGCTTAGTCGTGCATAGTGTAAACAGTTTCCTTTGCATTGTGAATATGTTTTCCCTGTGATTAGGTGGCACCAAGGAGGAGATCAACCAACACTGGGAGTGGCTGGAGAAGAACATCATGAGAACCTTGTCTGTGTTTGACTCCAGCGATGACATCACCAGCTTTGTGCAGGGCAAGATCAGAGTAAGTAATCACTACAGATAATTAAACACATGGTTTACACAGACACTACTATTATTGATCACTGCCACTCTCACAGGGAGATGGAGGCCTCCTACAGACTTAATAATGTATTCATGTAGTGAAGCCTACTGATGATAAGTAGCAAGTGCTTACTCTTTGAAAACATTTGGTGGTGATTATGGTGTTTAATTGATTACTGTTTCTGATATGGAAACCTTTGACTGTTTATTGAAAGCTAAGCAAAGGATAGTAGGTTTGTAATAAAAATTTGAATTTAAGAAACTATATGATGCTAATTTATATGCCTTGACATAAATGTTACAGAATGGAGATGGCATGCTGACTTGTTTAGACTGCTAATTATATTTGTTTCCTTCAGCGGCCATGAGAGAGATGTTGTCCTCCTCTTCTCTCTATAAAGGGGCTGATTGCTGAGGAAGGGAAGGTGTCAGGCGTGCAGGAGGACGACCCTGAGAAGTTCCGTGAAGCACTGCTGAGGTTTGAGAAATGGTTTGACCTCCCTCAGAAGGAGAAGCTGGTCACCTACTACTCCTGCAGCTACTGGAGGGGCCGTGTGCCCTGCCAGGGCTGGCTCTACCTCAGCACCAACTTCCTCTCCTTCTACTCCTACCTGCTGGGCTCCGAGGGTGAGACGAAACAGAGACCGAAACCTGAACAACCCCTCACTGTTGATTGTCACTTAAATGCAGAAACTGGCAGGCTTCATCCATTTACTTGTCATTTTATACATTGTATTTGGGTACAATATTATTATAATTCCATGACAGAATGGCAGCGAGTTACTCATTAAAGATAATCTGTTTCCTCTTCAGTGAAGCTGGTAGTCTCATGGAATGAGATCTGGAGGCTGGAGAAAACGTCCAATGTCATTCTGACGGAGAGCATTCATGTGTTGGCCAATGGGGAGAACCACTACTTCTCTATGTTCCTGCACCTCAATGAGACCTTTCTGATCATGGAGCAACTTGCTGACTACTCCATCAAACGCCTATTTGATAAGGAGACCTTCCAGGAAGAGCCCTCCCTCTCAGACCCACTACAGATCACCAAGAGGTATACTGCCTGTCACTGTTATTTTTTACTAATATTTGACAGTTACTTCAGGACACCATAGTGAATGGAGATGATATTAATTATTTTGTTTACTACCTCCATGCTCTCAAGCTGTCCTCCTTTTTTCACTACTTTTCTTTTTTTGCTCTCCTTCAGAGGCTTGGAAACTAATGCTAGGAACGAGCAATTCCGGGCCTTCTTCAGGCTGCCTAAAGAGGAGAACCTGCTGGAGGTTTATGAGAGCTTCCTGTGGGTTCCATTCAGCCACTTCAACACGCTTGGGAAGATCTGTCTGTCTGAGAGCTACCTGTGTTTCGCTAGCCAGGATGGCAGCCAGTGCCACGTCATCATCCCCATGAGAGAGGCAAGACACAGCACACTACCTTGACACTAAACTAATTTAATAGCCTCTGTGGCTCAGTGGTTTTGCTCAATGTTGTTGACCCAAACACCTATCCTTGCAGGTGATTGGTGTGGAGAAGCCAGATCGTAGCAGCAGAGCTTTGACTGTGTGTGTGCGGGGTAAGACGGCTCTGAGGTTCTCTGAAGTTCGGGACTTTGAGCGTCTCGGCAATGCAATCCGCAGGAGGTGTGGGATGACTGCCAGTCCTCAGCACTCTGCATCACCTGAGGTGACTAACTTCCTGTTTTGAACATGTGATCCTCTTCCTGCTTCTTACTGCTAGGTCTCTGCTCCAAGGGCACAATTCCAGTCCGCCTGCAACCCTCCAAATTTGTCTAAGGGAGCTTTCACATCAAATTGGTTTAAGCGGTTTTTCCTCACTCTGGTGCGTTCACCCCCTTAGTTCAGTTCATTTGAATTGGTGTGAACACTATCTGCACTCGGGAGCGCACCAAACAACGCACCGTGGTTCTCTCAAAAAGGGTGATCTTGGTCCGTTTCCATTCGTACTGTGGTGTGTTTCGCTGCAGGTGTGAGCGCAATTTGGACCAAACACAGGAAAAGAAGCAGTATTATTGGTTGTTTGACTATGAGCATTTGAACTTGGTTTCTCTCAAACATGTTGTGAGTAGCAGCACATTTATGAGCGCATCCTATGCAGATTAGGGGAGACCGGGGCTGTACAGGGGATATAGGCTACTGAATATATTCACTGCACGTTGCAGTTAGAGCAGCTAAAGTATTATGACGATTGGCTGGGACACCCAAGTGATGCTCCATGATGATCATAGATGGATTTAACGTGAGCATTTTTGCCCAATAAACAAATTACCTTGTGTGAACATATGGTTTTGTTTAGGCATTTTAGTTAGTTAGACATTTGTCAGTGTGACACCAACTGGACCAAATGAAAGATATCTGCCACGCTATAATTGCTGCCATTGAAAACAAACTGCGGGTTCACTGTGCCTTGCAGGTCATCAGAGGGGAGTGCCAAAACCTCATCAATCACTTTGAGGACAACCCAGAGGAGGTGGCTCTGATGGTGGGACAGAAGGACAGCAGCAAGGCTGTCAGCAATGAGGCCCTCATGACTGTGTTCCACCCCCAGGACGCTGAAAATCTTGATCCCAAAATGGTGGGATTGTACTCTAAAACATGACCTTCTCTCCTAATATGAAGAAATATACAATTTTTGGTTTATCTAGGAGCGCTGTTTCTTTTCCCCAGTGTGAGAATGAGCAGAGCATGATACATATGGTGGAGTTTTTTTAAAGGTGCTCTCCCTGTACTGTCTAGATGTCTCAGCCTTGACAGCTCATTTCTTATTACGCTGTTTCATCTCTGTGCCTGACAGCTAAAGGAGAAGATGAAGGAGCAGTCATGGAACATCCACTTCTCAGAGTATGGCCGTGGCACCAGTATGTTCTGTACCAAAAAGACACGAGACCTGATTGTGCGTGGCGTCCCTGAGGCCTTAAGAGGAGAGCTCTGGATGCTCTTCTCAGGTTCTGTTTGATATGGCTCTTTCACTGTTATATGGCTCGTATGTCTCCTTCACTGATGTGTAAAAGTGTGGTGTCTTTAATGTTTTGCTATAGGTAGCTGTATGTGTTTTGTTTAAATATGGTGTGTGGTGTTTTGCCTTGGTACTCTAGGTGCAGTGAATGACATGGCCACTAACCCGGGGTATTACAGTGAGCTAGTGGATCAGTCTCTGGGGACCAGCACCCTTGCCACTGATGAGATAGAGAGAGACCTGCACCGCTCTCTACCAGAGCACCCTGCCTTTCAGAGCGACACAGGCATCTCTGCCCTGCGCAGAGTCCTCACTGCATATGCCTACAGGAACCCCAAAATCGGCTATTGCCAGGTGCTAAGCTAGAAACCCCTATAACACTTCCCTGCTTTCTTTCTTTCAAAAAGCTAATAAATTAGGCATCTTTACATCTATCCTCCTTTTCTCTTCTGAAGGCCATGAACATCCTGACGTCGGTCCTGTTGCTCTATGCTAAAGAGGAGGAGGCTTTCTGGCTGCTAGTGGCCGTCTGTGAGAGGATGCTGCCTGACTACTTTAACCGCAGGATCATCGGTGAGAGACACAGCTGAATAACAATATAATTTTTAGTGTTGCATCACATTAAATATATGTACTGTATGTGTGTTTGATACTGAATACCTGGCTTACACTTTCTCACACAACTGCTATAAATCCTGTTTACAAACATCTTGTATTTCCTCAGGTGCCCTGGTGGACCAGGCAGTGTTTGAGGAGCTGATCCGAATGCACCTCACCCAGCTGACGGAGCACATGACAGACCTGACCTTCTTCTCCTCCGTGTCCCTGTCCTGGTTCCTCACCCTGTTTATCAGTGTCCTGCCCATAGAGAGCGCTGTCAACGTGGTCGACTGCTTCTTCTACGACGGCATCAAAGCCATCCTTCAGCTGGGCCTGGCTGTGCTCGACTACAACATGGAGGGCCTGATCAGCTCCCATGACGACGCTGAGGCAGTCACCATCCTCAACAAGTGAGTGTCAACACAGAGTGGGCGAGGTCTGAAGGTCAACTTAATTGGTTATTTCAAAGTACCGTATTAGGTTTATGATGGATTGTGAAGCAACATAATCTCCAAAACAATGAGTTAATTCTACAGGAATGCCCATCTTATTCATGTTACTTAACTGCTGCTCTGTTTGCCCTGGCAGGTTTTTCGATAATGTGACCAATAAGGACAGTCCTCTACCACAAACAGTGCAGCAAAACTCAGTAGGGAACAACGACAAAGCATCATCCCTCTCCAAGGTGGACATCAGTGATCTCATCAAAGAAGCCTATGAGGTACTGTAACGGTCAGAGTTGCTAGAACTGACCCCATGTCTCAATGTCAGGCTTGTCATTGATTTAGCCTTTTTAATTTGCTTACAGAAATATGGAGACATGAAATCAGAGGAAGTAGAGCGCATGCGGAAAAGAAACAAACTGTATGTAATCCAAACATTAGAGGATACGACCAAACAAAATGTGGTGAGTGGCACATCCCCAAACTTCCATGGCAACCTTTTAGCATTGTTTACTACAATTTGATGTAGGATGAATTGAGATTGACTTTTTTCCCAGCTACGGGTAGTGTCACAAGAAGTAAAGTTCAGTGCTTCCCAGCTTGATGACCTTTATGCATTGTTCAAGGTATCACAATCACTCTTTTCAAATAATAATATACTACTGCATACACTACATGCGTCAATATTCCTCATAGACACAGAGTTGACACGACTGGCATGAAAAATGGAAATGTGTTGAAAATAGACACAGATTTAAGCGCTGGAAGTTGAATACTTCAATGTGTTTCCAGAGGCAACATTTCCTCAGCTGCTACTGGACGATGAACAGCCCAGTGCTGCTGCACCACGACCCCAGCCTGGCCTATCTGGAGCAGTACCAGCTGGGCTTCCATCAGTTCAGGCTGCTCTTCTCCCTCCTGGAGCCCTGGTCCCTCTGCAGCGGCAACGATGCCCTCTTCCTCTGGGCCTTCCGCCTGCTGGATGAGAACCAGGACGGCCTCGTCAACTTCAAAGAGTTCTGCTGTGCCCTGGGTAAGGTTAGACCAGTGCTCTGATGCATAGCTACAGGTCTATGAATGCTGTGCCCACCCTCCGTTTTCACCATTATCTGTGGAAACGGTATGTCGCATCTAATCCAGCATCAACCTCATGCAACCTTTCATGAAAATGTCCCCCTCCCTATTTTGTTCTTTCTGCAGACATTTTGTACAGCGGCACTTTCACCAGCAAACTGAAATTCCTGTTCAAGCTTCATCAGCCACCAGGTAAGTAAGATCACCAGAACTGCATTAGCACCTTCTCTATTAACCACTTGTCATTCTACGGTCATGATACTTTTGATCTGTATTTCTTCTGCTTGAATACATTATTTATAATAAGAAACTCCCAATACAATTTTGCTGCAGACTATGCCCTTCTAATTTCAACTGTACTGTATATTTCGTGCTACTCTTCTACTCGCCAACTAATCTCTTTAACTGTTCCTTACATCTGTCCCTGCTGTAATGTTGCATTCTCTCACAGAGAATGTCTTCTTCTAGCTTTCACAGGTAGTCCTTTCCACTCAAAGGGCCAAAGACTTCCTCACTTCATTCCAATGACTGACGACCTATCCCACTTGAGTCGATTGACTGGTCAGCTTGCTTTGCTCTTTTCTTTCTCTGCTATAAGCATTTCACTCTTTGCCTCTGTGCTTTTGTCTTTGGTAGATGCTCATCTGTCTGTTTGTCTTTAACAATGTCTTAAGTTGGTCTCTTTTGTCATGTACAATTTGTTTTACTACTATCTAGATATGTGTCCTTGTAGACAAGGTTTATATATGATATAATTTCTCACTGGTTATGGTGTAGAATAGCAAAATGTACTTTAGTTACTGTATGAGTTCCTTTGACTTATGTGAATGTACTTTACACTATGTAGTGTCCGATCTTCCAGAAGATGGCGTGATCAGAAAAAGCCCTGAAAGAGGTAATTTATTTGGCCTGTCTCTTTTTCTCTTTTACCAAGCTCTTCACAATATTGCTAATTTAAACAGAATATCCTTGTACACATTACCCATTTGTGTCTGAACACTGCACTTTCCACCCACAGGCAGAGGGAAAGTGGATCTGCAGGCCTACCTGAAACAATGGCAAGATGAGATACTAAAGAAAGAGGAGAGCATCAAGGATTTACCCAGAATTAACCAGGTAAATACACCCATATCTAGGTTAACATGTAGTCAATCAGGTGAATATGCATGCAGATATCTTTCTAACAGATAAACTTTGAACAATTGAATCCACATGTTATGTCATTACTTTATGCAAAAAGAAACACAATGACAAAATCTTAAAATTGAATCCATCCCTTTTCTTTTAATGTTGTCAGGCTCAGTTTATCCAGTTCTCCAAATCACTCTACAATCTGTTCCATGGTGACCCAGAAGAGGAGTCTCTGTACCGTGCTGTGGCTCGAGTCACCAGTCTCCTGCTGAGGATGGAAGAAGTAGGGCGCAGGCTCCAGGAGCCCACCAGCCCCCAGAAGCCCACCACTAGCCCCACCCAGGCTGCCCCAGAGGGGACTCTACCCGACGGGGAGGCCTGCAGCACCCATGAGAGCTGCTCAGACACCCCTAGCACTACCATCACCCTGGAGGCAGGCTCCATCCCACAGGAGGTGGAATGGTCATTTGCCTTTGAGCAGATCTTGGCATCGCTGCTCAACGAGCCTGTCCTTGTGCGCTTCTTTGAGAGGCCTGTAGACATTCAGGCCCGGCTGGACCATGCCAAGTGTGCTCAGTTGAAAGCCAAGACAAACAAGTGAACTGAAGGATACACTGTGGGTCAAACCTTCTCAAAGCCATTAAGTCTCTATGTTCACTATCCTCACTATTCTCTACTGTTCTTTTTCCGCCTGGTCAGGTAACAGGAGTGGATTCTAAGCCAACCCTGTTCACTGTAACCAAACGCAAGGAATACACTTGTAGAGAAAGCATTCACACCTTTTAACGCCTATAAATTCCAGTTGTATCTTGTAGATTCATAGTTTTAGTTATGTCATCTGCACACCAGCAAACCTGCTCAAGCATCTTGCTTCTATGTGCCAGAGTGGTTTTCTCATGCAGCCTTAAATCTCTCAGCTAATTTTCAGAAACACCAGCCTTTCAAATTGGGGGGTAAGTAATCAGTTGACCTGTGTGGGATATGTAGGGAGCAGCATTACACTCCAGGGTTGTCACTTGAAGCCAACAATGGAAGTCAATCATTGCATGAAACCGGCACTGGGATAGATAATTGTATATGAGACCTTTACTGTTGCTCATCCATAATTATGCAATGAATGAAACCTAGAATGGAGAGATGAAAGAGACACCACTATGTTATTGTATCTCTGGGTTTACTTTGTAATGACAAGATGTGGCCAATTTATTTCTGCTCATTTTGTGGAGGGCGGCTTTTGAAAACGATGGGACCACTACTTGCTCAAGGCCCAAGGCTGTTAGTCGGAATTCTACATTTCCGTTTTCTTACAATATATATTACGTTTTTGCCTTCAAATTCCATTTGTTTTGTTGAAGTATCATGAATGAGGGAACAAGAGCGTGTTGTCATTGCTAAGTCAAATCACTTTCAGGACACAAAGTAAAAACAAATTGGATAGTTGCTGTTGAGGCAATCACTGTTGTCATTTGAGGACATTGTGCAATATTTGTATTCTAACTACTGTCTGAGTCTTTAAGGGAAATTAAGGTAATATATATAATTTCATATACAGAATAAAAACAATAAACATGACTTATGATTATGTTCTCTTTTGTTTGATATTGTATAATTTAATTGAGTTGCAAAGGGATTACTAAATTACTAATTACTATTTGTCAGAGTAAATGTTATATTCATAATTTTTTATAATGTCTTGTAAAAGGAAATTATTGTTGTTTGATTATATTTGTGAGACTGCAGATACAATTATTTGATGTGTATAACTGATAGTGTGGCCTGTTACACATTCCTTTGTATATCATTTTCTTTTTTGAAATCCTTTAAAGCATGAAACGGTGCATGGGCATGGATACCTTATGATGATTCAAATGCAACACAGTTGGTTCTGAATGACTTACTTTATTTCTTGGTTTGATGTGGTGGACTGTAAAATGCAGAATTTTAGTCATTGTTGATTGAAAAAACCTGCTTCAATGTCCTCTGTGTAGTATGGATATTTATATTTTACATAAACAGCGTCTGCTAAATGACTAAAATGTAAATGTATAAATGTTTGTTTTCAAAATTAGTCTGTCAGGAAAAGGACAGCTGAGCAACTTTTACATGGTTTGTATTTTCTGTATTTGAGTGTTCTTCCTCAGTGCCATCTGTGTGTAAAATCAAACCTTGCCGTTATATATTATAGTCTCTTAAATAGACCCCTTATCCCACACCAATAATCACTTGGCAGTAAATACTTCTAAAATGCTGTTCCTTGTTATAATAGCTGCTAAGATTAATATACATATTTGTCACTTTAAAGCCTTTACTTGACAGCACAATATCATACAATATCATAGATCGGTAGCTACTCTCCATTTTCTTTATTTGATCAATACAGTAAAGTAATAAGAGCCCATGTTCATTGGAGAACAAGTGTTAGTGTTTGAAATTAGCAGTTAACTCTTTACATTGCATTAGTGGTGACTTGAGTGGGAAGTTAAATTCCCCTGTGAACAAGTCAACTAAATGAAAGTCTATTAAAATATTTGCAGGGCAATTGCCATTTGAAATGCCACAATTCTCAATTTGTCATGAGAGATTGCTGTGTACTACACTCACATTTAGAAATAAAGAGATTGTGTATAGGCTTTATTAGTTATGCTCTAGATATGTGTAGTCAGATCTTTATCAACTTGGTGCAATACATAGGATAATTGTGTGTTACCAGTGAAACTATATTACGTTACCTTTTATTTAACCTTTAAGCTATTTACACTTTAAGATGACTCTCATAGCACAAATGTATTTGGGCCTACTTAAGATACATTGTAAATGTAATTGCTTGGTTGCCAATTAATGGTCTTAATTACAATAACCACATCTAGCGTAAATATTCTAATTTAAGTCTGTGTACTGCCTGTTTTTGTTGCGGGGTTTTCTGGAGGAAAATTAATCCTTTGGAATGTTGTGACGTTTTTGATCTGCCTGTGCCTACCACAAGTGACACTTTATGTGAATGTCAAACATCTTGAAATGAATAAAATGTTACAATGTAATAAAATAATCTTAGACATCAAATGTGTTTATTTGAATGAATGAGTTGTTTTGCAAATAGGCCAAGTGAATGAATGGAACAGCCAGGACTAAAATGTAAGATACCCGCATTTGCCCCTATTCTCATGTCGAGACTGCTGCTACATTATTTGACACAGTGATTGTCAGCCTCCGCTACCAACACCCATGACATATGCCTACTTAGCCTCCATAAGTCATAGAATATTAGAAGTGCATGAGCAAAGATAATAGGTCTACAAAACTCTTCTAAAGTCTCACTGACATGAAGATGACCCTAGGTACAGGACCAAATGACCATAGTCAGACAGGGCCTTTGCTAATCGTGATTGGCTCGTTTGTTGTGGAGTGGAGAGCTTGCGAGAAAGCTGTAGCTTGTGGATGTCCCTCCGTGGTTACTTCCGACACCTGTTGTTTATTTAACATTGGTGGAAAATAGAAAAGATTGGTCCGAAATCAGTGATATAGAGGAACTGGTTGAAAATGACATTAGTAGAAGCTTTCATGTTTATTTAAAAGGTGTTTACAGATGGTTCCAAGGATCCTGATAGTGGACACATGGGAGCAGGAGTTTTCATTCCTGAATTTGATGTGCAGATATGTAGAAGACTAACAGATGGACTGGTCTACTCTCTCTGTCTGTATGCTGAACAGTTGGCAATGGTAGTTGCTCTCCAGTGGGTGGAGGACACTCAACCTATTAGAATTGTATTATGCTCAGATTCTTTGTCTGTACTGTGTAGTTTATCCTCTGGTAACTCTAATATGAGTAATCTACTATTGGAGGCATTGACTCTATTATGGAGAATTGAGAAAGTGGTTGTAGTAGTGTGTTTCTGTTGGGTCCCAGCCCATTCAGGTGTGGGAGGGAATGGAAATGTACACCAAGTAGCCAAAAGGGCTTTGAACCAGATATAATGTATATTTGTGCTATATTGGGTAGAGGCTAAGATCATAGCCATTTTTATAGACGTGCAGAAGAGGTGGGACTCCCGAGCCCTAGGGTTGAGATTTATATGCCCTCCAAAGAAAGGTCAGTGGAACAAGATTCAAAAGGCGGAGGGGGGATGGGGCGTGGGTTTGTTAGAAGTTAGTAGGGCTCTTTCTTTTAATGTTCTTAGTAGTACAGGATTAGGTAGGAGGGTTTTGTTATAGATGTTTATGTTGACCATTGACCATTGTTTTTGACCATACACTCCAGTACAGTAGGTGGCGGCATGCACCTTTAACGTCTGTTTGCAGACCGCCATAGAAGAAGAAGAAGTTGTAGCTTGAAACTAGCCACACACACCGCAGTTTGATGGTGGTTGCATCCAACATCTTAGCTAGCTACAGCAACATTTCATATTTGCAGGTAAATTCACCATACTTTGTAGAAGTCTCATAATTTATGTTTGAATCATTAATATTATCTTGTAATAAAGTTACTATATTATAATTAGCTAGCTAGTGAATTAGTTTGACGGCTAGTTTGCATAAGGCAACGTTAGCTTCGTAACGTTAGCTAGCAGATAGCCTATTTGAAGCTAGCTAGCTACTAGCTAACGTTAGCTAGTAACGTAATTAGCGGTCTCTTTGCAGAGTCATAAAACATTATACGCTTTTCATGCAAGTATCGAGTTATGTCTACTGTATAGATAGTATTGAGATGATATAGATAGTATTGGACTAACATGTACTTATGTAGCTTTCCAGGTAGTTAGCAAAAATAGCTAGCGTTAGCTAGCTAGCATTCTAACTTGCAAAAATGGAGACGCCAGGTGAGGCGCGCCAAAAGCAGCAACGTTGCCATAGCCAAGCTAGCTAGTGGTTGTCACTAGTTACCACAGCCACAGTCAAATGGCTATATCGTAAAAACTCGCTTTTTGGTCGTAAATCAAGGTTAGGGTTAGGCATAAGGTTAGCAGTGTGGTTAGGATTAGGTTTAAAATATGATTTTACCAGAAATTGTAGAAATAGGCGGGGTTTAGCCATAAATATAATGATGACATTGTGGCTGTGATAACTACTGATGACCGCTGGCTAGCGAGTACCAAACTTTAGCTACATTGACCGAGCTAACTAACTAGATATATGCCTTCACGTGTGTGATCTCATGGTCTAGAATAGTGGAGCCACAATAACTACTTAGTGGAGCCACAATTAACTAGCTACTTGTGGCTGTAATTTCTCAAGCCTACCACCACATTTGATTGACATGAATACAACTGAAGCAAACCATTGTTTTTGTTGTTTCCTTTCTCTTCAATTGTAACTTTAGGTGCAGTATGGAACCCTCAGAGCATCCAGAAACCTCGGCCTCTTTTCAAATGGCCAATGAGCATCTAGACCTGCTATCCACACAGACTGATATGGACCTGTTTTCTGAGCACACTGACATGGGCCTGCTGCCTGCTCAGACTGATGTAGGCCTACTGTCTGCACAGAGTGATATGGACTTGCTGCCTGCTCAGACTGATGTAGACCTACTGTCTGCACAGAGTGATATAGACCTGCAGCCTGTACAGACGGATATGGAGGTGGCCTACACTGGCTCACTGGGAACAGAGGGACACAGTGGGGAGCAGCAGGCCCTTGACGAGTTGACAACCTTTCTTACCCAATCTGAAAGAGAGAGGCTGAAAACTCAGGACAGCTTGAGCATCCTGGGGGACCCAGACTCACTGGAACTGTCCAAAGCCCAGGTGGAGGACTTTTACAGCCGCACAGTCCTTCCAGAACCATCAGACTTTCAGGAACCCTCAGTCTTTCCAATTCCCTCCGTCCTTCCAGAGCCCTCCGTCCTTCCAGAATCCTCATACCTTCAAGAACCTTCAGGCTTCTCAGAATCCTCAGTCTATCCAGAACCCTCATACCTTTCAAAACCCTCAGACTTCCAAGAGCCCTCCGGCCCAGCCACAGGCCTCAGTCAGGATGAGTGGGGCAGGCAGGGTCACACAGAAGCCTGGTCAGAAATGGGAGCTGAGCCAGGGACAGACAAGCTGGAGGTCACCGTGGGAACTCCGACCGTAACTGGGACACAGATGCCAGAGACAGGAGAGGAGCAAATGGACATAGTGCATGAAGATCCCACTGCATCTGCTCAAGATGACGTTGATCCAAATATGCCTTCTATAGTCAGCGTAGAGAGTTCACACTCTGAGGATGGTCCAGGCAAAGAGGAAGCCTTATCATTCTATGGATTGGTGCCAAAGGTAGAAGGCACAGCAGAGAAAAAGAGTGAGAAAGAACAGCCAGTGGGGGGCAGTATGTCCCCACTATCATCCTGGGCCCAGCCATTGACACCAGGTGAAGGTGTGTGTAGTAAGGAACCGTTGTTTTTAGGCTCATAAGTTTATACATTTATGTAACATATAGAAGTCTCAGTGCCACAGAAATAGTTTGAGAATGATAAAGGGAAATGCAAAACTTGATTTAGGCATAATTACACATATTTGAGAAACGATTAGCAATCACTTCTTCAAATAGCCATGTCAGTTCACATAGTCTGCATCTCCTATGTCATGAACAGCCTTTAGTTACTGATGATCGATTGTGTTTGTTTCAGCTGAGGAACAACCTGAAACTGAGGTCGCCGTCGAGGATCCAAATAGTCAAAAGACTACGGTAAAAAAACAACTTTCCATTAATTCTAGACATTTTCTTTAAAAGTAAGTTAATTACTGTTAGTTACTCTTCTCATTTATTGTAGGGGAGAAAGCGAGGTCGTCGTAATCGTGGAGAAGTGAGGAAAAATACACAAAACATGTCTGATGGAGGTAAAACATCAGTTCTTTGTAAAGCTGCTTATGTTTAGCTAATTAATTTACCTCAGTCTCAACAACTATCATTATGTATGACTATTTGCCCAATTATATGATTATCACACTGCTCTAAATGCATTGTCTTCTGCTGCAGACCAGCTAACAGACAGCGGTTCTGACGATGCAGCTGATGATCCGAGGGACACAGACTTTGACCCCGCACGGTTTGGCCTCCGGCGTTCCACCAGGGTCTCCCAAAGGAGCCAGAGCACTCCGTCCCCCCGCCTCATTTCCCCGAAGCTGTCTGGTCCTGCCTCTACCCCTGCGTACACTCAGAGGTCTGGAGGACCCCCTCCACCCCGGCCGCCACCCCCTCGCCAGCCTACCAGGGTCCTCTGTGCCAACTGCAGTGGAATTCTGCAGAGCGGACAGACAGCCTACCAGCGCAGGGGTCAGCCTCAGCTATTCTGCAGCTCCACCTGCCTTAACTCCTTTGGCAAGAAAGCCCCCAAGAAAAAGCCCTGTGCTTTCTGTAAAAGGTAAGCTTCTCAATAGATATTCAATTAATGTGTTCTTAGTTTCTGCTATTCCTTCCAGGAAGGACAGTGGATTTATAACAAATTCCTCATGCTATTTCATAGTAAACTAAGTGTTAACATTGTGCATTGTTTTGATCTCAACAATATTTGTGAAATGTACCTTAAGGTTTGTCTCTTCTATTTTAGGGACATGGGTAATAGAAAGGACACCATGCTTGCACAGGTTGGCCAGTCACAGGCCTTCCAAGAATTCTGCAACAGCACTTGTCTTTCCCTGTATGAGGCCCGGCTGGAGAAGGGCCCGACACAGCCCCCCAAACCAAGTGCCCCTGCCCAAAGATGCAGTGTGTGCAACCTAATGCGTGAGGTACCAAAGCTTTGGCCATAACATTTTAGATTATGTGCTCCCAGCCAATTGGCTGCATGTTCAACTAAATAGTGTTAGGGTGTCTCAATAGGAGGAAACTCCAGTAGACAGTAGGATGATTATTTAAAGGCCCAGTGCAGTCAAAAACATGATTTCCCTCTGTTTTATATATATTTCCACACTATGAGGTTGGAATAATACTGTGAAATTGAGAGAAAAAAATGATAATGTCCTTTTAGTGTAAGAGCTGTTTGAAAAGACTGCCTGAAATTACTGCCTATTTTGGTGGGATGGAGTTTTGGCCTGCCTTAGTTAGTGGCACTGAAAGCGTTTTAACTAATTTGCAGATATGAAACAGACAATCAGAATATCAGTAAAAAAAAGTATCAAATTCCCAGTTTATTCTTAAAAAAAACTACTTTAAAAATAGGTTCTATTTGACAGAAAATGCCATGACATAGAGTAAGGCATTGTTGGCAGAATAGACAGATGCAGTTCAATGCATGATCAATATAATTCACCAATACATTTCTTGGTAGCAACAAATATTGCTATCAGGTTGTACATCACAGCTGGCCTGGTACATTGTTTGCTTCCTCCAACCATTGGGGATGCACTGTTTCCGTTTCAATATGACTCAATATCTTGGACCAAAACAGACAAATGTAAGTAAGGCCAGGAATGTCAATACAATCAAACTAGCAAGGGCAATGATCACAAGTCAGTCATAAGTGGCTAATAGGCTAGCTTAACTATTTATGTTGCTATGTATTTATCAAGCTAAAAACGCGGAGCCTAACATTAGCTAGCTAGCTGCTGGGATGATGTTATGTCATTGGACAGTGGGCGAGTGGCCAACTTTTTCCCCCAATATCGTTTTTCTGTGGCTACAGCTAAAGATGCAGGTGTCATTTGGTTAGCTAGCAAGAAATGTAAATCACTTTGCTAGCTAGCAATGCTGAACTTGAACGACTGTTATCCACAGTTAGCATATCTCTTGGTTGTCAATCAAATGTATTTGGCATCGATCAAATGGGCGGGCAGGCAAGTTCCTATTTAGTTGTTAAAACGTGGGTTGGGACAAGCATGCATTGGCAGGCAAGCTGCAGAAGGGCGATCAGGCTACTTTCCCCCCATCGTTTATCAGTGCACTACAAGCTGAAAAAGTTTGAGGGTTTATCTACTGTTCCCTCATTAGATTTTAGCTCAGCTCTCTGGCTGACATTAGTTGTTGATCTTGTTGTTTTTGATGTACATAGGCAACTGAGGGAGAGAGAGCCTACCTTTTCATGGTTGTTTGATCAGTAGGACTGTAAAGTTCCCAAATGTAAGAGGACTCCCGTGGTATTTACATATTTGCAGAAATCCATTCAGGTGTATTTTGTGGCTTTCTAATGAGCTAAATTCGTACTGTTGCTACTGCCTGTAAACACACAGTCCAGTTCAAAGTGAATGATGGCAGGCCCGTGTGGCAAATGGCTTATTTGCATATAGTCCTACTGTAGCTCTGATTGGCTATGGTGCACCAGTCTGTGTAGAGTCCAGTCCTGGACAAGACACATGTTTTTATTAGGTTTTATTTACTGCAATGTCTATTACAGGGGTACTCAACTACTATTTGAGAAGGTCCAGTGACACAAATTTCCTATGTGTCAAAAGTCTGGATGGATATCATCCTTTATCGGCGCTGTGGTACAGCGTAGTAACAAACATAGTCGTCTGCGACTTAGGAAACATGTTGTTATATTAACTGTACATTAAATTCATTAAATGAGATGCATCAACATTGCTGAAGAACAAAAGTGGTTGCATAATTGTCTATGCAAAAAGTGCACTGTGAACCATTGTACATGGGCCTTAAATTCAAAAATATATATTTAAATAAAATAAAGTGCATGTTTTCTGGAGAACAAAGGAGAGCTGAAAAAAAATAATAATCTGAATGCACAGAACGTCACTGTGGGCCATACAATATTAATGTCAAAGTCACTGTGCCTTGCCCTTGCATCAATGAGAGAAATTACACTTTGTCTCCTGCCAATGCTTTGAACTTTGGCGCAAATGGTGTGAGAGCAACGCTGAGACGCTGGTACAGGTGTTCATTGGTGAGCCTGGTGTGGTATTTGTTTTTAATAAAGTTAATTGTGTAGAAGGCTGATTCACAGCTGTACAGTGGGGGAAAAAAGTATTTAGTCAGCCACCAATTGTGCAAGTTCTCCCACTTAAAAAGATGAGGCCTGTAATTTTCATCATAGGTACACGTCAACTATGACAGACAAATTGATGAAAAGAAATCCAGAAAATCACATTGTAGAATTTTTAATGAATTTATTTGCAAATTATGGTGGAAAATAAGTATTTGGTCACCTACAAACAAGCAAGATTTCTGGCTCTCACAGACCTGTAACTTCTTCTTTAAGAGGCTCCTCTGTCCTCCACTCGTTACCTGTATTAATGGCACCTGTTTGAACTTGTTATCAGTATAAAAGACACCTGTCCACAACCTCAAACAGTCACACTCCAAACTCTACTATGGCCAAGACCAAAGAGCTGTCAAAGGACACCAGAAACAAAATTGTAGACCTGCACCAGGCTGGGAAGACTGAATCTGCAATAGGTAAGCAGCTTGGTTTGAAGAAATCAACTGTGGGAGCAATTATTAGGAAATGGAAGACATACAAGACCACTGATAATCTCCCTCGATCTGGGGCTCCACGCAAGATCTCACCCCGTGGGGTCAAAATGATCACAAGAACGGTGAGCAAAAATCCCAGAACCACACGGGGGGACCTAGTGAATGACCTGCAGAGAGCTGGGACCAAAGTAACAAAGCCTACCATCAGTAACACACTACGCCGCCAGGGACTCAAATCCTGCAGTGCCAGACGTGTCCCCCTGCTTAAGCCAGTACATGTCCAGGCCCGTCTGAAGTTTGCTAGAGTGCATTTGGATGATCCAGAAGAGGATTGGGAGAATGTCATATGGTCAGATGAAACCAAAATATAACCTTTTGGTAAAAACTCAACTCGTCGTGTTTGGAGGACAAAGAATGCTGAGTTGCATCCAAAGAACACCATACCTACTGTGAAGCATGGGGGTGGAAACATCATGCTTTGGGGCTGTTTTTCTGCAAAGGGACCAGGACGACCGATCCGTGTAAAGGAAATAATGAATGGGGCCATGTATCGTGAGATTTTGAGTGAAAACCTCCTTCCATCAGCAAGGGCATTGAAGATGAAACGTGGCTGGGTCTTTCAGCATGACAATGATCCCAAACACACCGCCCGGGCAATGAAGGAGTGGCATTTCAAGGTCCTGGAGTGGCCTAGCCAGTCTCCAGATCCCAACCCCATAGAAAATCTTTGGAGGGAGTTGAAAGTCCGTGTTGCCCAGCGACAGACCCAAAACATCACTGCTCTAGAGGAGATCTGCATGGAGGAATGGGCCAAAATACCAGCAACAGTGTGTGAAAACCTTGTGAAGACTTACAGAAAACGTTTGACCTGTCATTGCCAACAAAGGGTATATAACAAAGTATTGAGAAACTTTTGTTATTGACCAAATACTTATTTTCCACCATAATTTGCAAATAAATTCATTAAAAATCCTACAATGTGATTTTCTGTAATTTTTTTTCCTCATTTTGTCTGTCATTGTTGACGTGTATCTATGATGAAAATTACAGGCCTCTCTCGTTTTTTTAAGTGGGAGAACTTCCACAATTGGTGGCTGACTAAATACTTCCCCCCCCCCCCCCCCCCCCACTGTATGTGGAGGCAGACATGGTCAGGATGTGTAGTGCCAGTTTGTTGAGAACAGGGACATCAACTGAAGGCACCATCTTTCCCCAGAAAGTGACAGGGTCACAATCGCCAGCCTGCTCTTTCAAAGCCACATTTTGTTGCAGCTCAATCAACTTCATTTGCAGTGATGCAACATCTACCCATTTTGAAGATCTGTTTTGCTTCTTCTGACAACTTTGTCACATTTATGACCAAGGAGGGGTTCTGGATGAGCAGCAGCATTTCTCTCCCAACAGTGAAGTCATCAAAGCGAGCCTTGAAGTTATCCATCAGCTTCTGGATGAAATCAACATGGTTGGGAACATCATTGTCTCCCTGCGTTTGCATCAGAAGATTGGGGAAGTGGACAAGTTCTCCTTGGAGATCATTCTTGAAAGCTCAAATTTCTTCTAGAAAGCCTGAACTGCTGTTAGCATATCACACACTGTGCAACTGTTTCCATCTTCTCATCTTCCAAAAACACAGAAAACTGAGTTGCCTTGTCACTCTTTTCCTCTGATAAGAAAGCTTTGATTTCCTCTTGAATGGCCCAAAAGCGTTCCAAAACCCTGCCTTTGCTGAGCCATCTGTCATTGTTGTGCAGTAGTAAGTCATCAAAACTGGCATTGGCCTCTGTCAGAATGCCTCGTAGCAGGTGGTGTTGTAGGGATGATGTTGATCAGTTTCATCATCGTTGTCATGACCTCGGAATATTGCTTTCCCAGACTGGCACACAGGACAGATTGATGGATGATGCAGTGATATGATGTCAGGTCAGGGTGGTCCTATTTCAAATGTGCAACCAGTCCCCTCCCTCTTCCTATCATGGCTGGAGCTCCATCTTTGGTGATGGAGACCACTGACTTCAGATCTATCCCCCTTTTTGTCAGCATCCCTTTGATGGCCTCATGGATATCCTCTCCCCGTGTGTGTGCTTCTAGATTAGTTGAGCCAGCCCAACAGCTCCTCACAGAATTCCTTCTTTGTTTCGTTATAAAATCTGACACACCAGAAGCTGTGCATTATCAGTGTTATCTGTTGATTCATCCACAGCTAATGAAATGCATGGTGCATTCTGAATGGCCTCATCAAGTTGTGAAGTGAAATCTTCCGCTAATATTTCAGTTCTCCTCATTGCTGTGGAATCTGACAGTGGGAACTGTTTGATATTTTCCCTGAGCTCATCTTTCTGTTTACCTTCCAGCAAGGTTTCAGTAACTTCACACATGCATTATTTTACCATCTCAGTGTCAGATTTGTTTTTTGGTGTTTTTTCCCAAAACCCAAGCTATCCTCAGTGAACACTGCACGTTGTTGGGCTGTCAGGTAATTGACAAGGACTTTGGTGGACCTCTCATATTGGGATTTGAGTTGGTTAATTTTGTTTGTTCTCACCTGCGTGTTCAGGGGATACATCTGATCGAATTTACTATGCCTTGTGTCATAATGGCACTTAACATTGTCACTTTTCACGAGAGCTACGGACTGGCTGCATATCAGGTACATTGGTTTTGTGTTAGTTGCGGGGAGAATGAATACTGTTCCGTCCACTCGTCTTTGAATATACGGTTTTCATAGTCATGATGATTTTTTTATCAAGCCGTATTAACAAAGATACTGGTAACTAAACTCATATCTGTGATTATTAACAGTTGAACCATGGTCAAATCTTTGTTTCTTTGAGTTTGAGTTTATTTTTACAGGGACAGTGCACATTAATCAACGTTTCAGTAAAAGTGCCGGTTTTAGCCAGCCGGCTAATTTTCAACCGCAGTCCCTGGGCAGGTTATTAAAAACAATTACAATATAGACAATAACAACATAGAACAAGACATAGCAACATAGGACAAACAAGACGTAGCATACAGACAGAGCAACATAGAACAAAAAGCAGCAAGACAAAATTCATAAAAGCAACAGTGTTTCCACACCTCACAAGTTACAGACAACAGACATGGAAAGCGGCAACACACAGCTAGGGACCATGTTCACAAATCTGATTGACCTTTAGCCATGTCTTCAAGCATTTTGTGAAAGTGTGATATGTGGTGCAGTTATGTGTGTCTGATGGCAGTGTATTCCAGACATGGGAAGCTCTCACAGAAAAAGCGGATTTACTAAAGGTGCTTTTCCTTAGGGGAACTACACAGTCACCTCTCATGGCAGACCTTGTGGATCTGCTGCCATATGTTTGGGTTTTCTGTTTAACAAAAATACTGAGTGGAGGGGGAGCCAAGCCATTTAGGATCTTGAATACAAGACATGCATCGGTGTATTGCACAAGATTTTCCCAATTTAGGAGCTCATGCTTTCTAAGGATGTGACAGTGATGATGGCTATTGGGCTTCCTATCAAGCACTTTGAGAGCCTGTTTGTAGACAGACTGAATAGGTCTTACTGTTGTACAGCAAGCTTGGGCCCAACTAGCCAAACAGTATGTTAAGTGGGGGAGTATCATAGATTTGAAGTACAGTTTTGCAACCTCTGTAGTCAAACAATTTCGTATAAATCGGAAATTAGCTAGGTTGAATTTTGGTTATTTGAATGACCTTTTTCACATGCTTTTTAAAAGAGAGGTTGGAATCAAGTATGATGCCATGGTACTTAAAATCAGATACCCCCTGGAGCTTCTCCCCTGACACATAGACTTCTGGCTCAGTAGCATCTGTTGCCCTCTTTGTGAAGAACATGCAAACAGTTTTTTTCACATTGAGATGCAAACACGAGTCACTGAGCCACTTTGTAACCTGGACCATTACAGTAGTGAGTTCTTGTGCAGCTTGTTGTTTGCTCTTTGCATGCACATATATCACTGTATCATCTGCATACATTTGAACTTCAGACCCAGTACAGACAGAAGGCAGATCATTAATGTACAGGCTGAACAGGAGGGGCCCCAGTATTGACCCTTGGGGCACACCCACATCATAGCTAAGAGTGGGCGACAGCCACATCATAGCCTCCTTGTTCCAAGGTTCCGCAGAGGATAATTGTGAAGGATATTTGAGGATATTGATGTGATTGGGTAAGACGCGGCCTCTTGTATTTGCATATAACCATGCAATTGGATTAGATTGGGCACTAGTAGAGGTGGCTGTTGCTTTGAGAGAGCGAGAAAGAGAGGTTACTGAGTTAAAGAGACCGCTGCGCCAGGTAGATTTTTAAAAAGCTGTCTAAACATAATTTATTGACTTTTCTATAACAAAATGCGATGTTGTCCGGCCCGGATTGAACCTTCCTCTGGGTCCGGACCGCGGCCCGCCAGTTGAGTTTGGCTAGTCTATTAATTGTCCAAACACACGGCTGCTTTCCCACTCTATATTGCTATAGAATGTTCACAAATGCCTTACTATACGTCATTAACAAACACAATGTATTAAAACGCGAAAATGACCATATCTAATTACTCCATTCTCAGAAAATGTAAAATATAAAAATAAAAGGCTTCATATTCTTCCTGGGGGTGTATATGAACAGATTTTAATATGATTTGATGTTGCTAAAATGCTGTCAGTTCCACATAAATAGACCAACAAGAGAGTTCCAAACCTCTGCCAAAACCAGCTAGTTTTCTGTTTTCCCCTCCCCACTCATGCCACTCCCAGACAGTCATATCAGCATTCTTGCTTGAGAAATTGCTCTTTGCTAAGAAGCAACAAAAAAACGAAGAAGCTGTTTCTTTTTGACCATTTTAATTACAAACAATCACAGTAAGGTACTTAATTGTTACCTGAAAATTATTTGATATTGAGTTAAAAATGGCTACACTTCCACAATGCTTTGCTTATGGTTTAAAATGCTGTAGGCTGTTTTGTTAGTCATACATTAAATTGAAGCTATTTTAAAGACTGCAGCTTCTACTCTTGCAACAAGTCAACATTTTATGCTTACCTCGAAAAGCTGGCACCAGCCTTACCTATTCTGATTAGAGTTTCCCACACCATCTGTTAGTCATTTGTACAATAAAATGTATTAAAAATAAGTAGGCACTTTTTAATGCTAAGCACTGCAAAACCACACAATGATGTGATTATGGTATACATTCTTTAAAATATCCTTTGTGTTAGAAATGCTGGTCAGAGATCTGATCAGCACTCTTCAATTCAAGCTCAGTCGATATAGGGCAGCCCACCGAACACCTGTGCTAATGTGAAGTATTTGTCACGTCATGTGCTTTTCCCAGAAGTGAAAACAAAGAATCCCTAAACCCTAGTGACACACATTTCAATGTCACCTCATGTTGATATTTCATAATTGAAAACAAATGTTATGTGTGTAGCTGGATCTATGCTGTGATGATGGAGTCTGCATGAGGCAGGACTTCTGTCAAACTTTGAAATCCATATCGACAAGTTTATGCTGTTGTTGAGTCTGTTCGTATGCTATGAGCAGGCAGCAGAATAAATTATAGCCAACTGGTTGACTAATGGGAAATGAAAAATGATGGCGTTATTTGAAGGTAGGATTGTTAGAATTCAGCCCCGAGTTTCTTACATTTCTTCCCTCCTGCCTCAGATCAACCACGAGGTAACCATGGGGAACATGATTCACCTCATGTGCAGTGATGCCTGCTTCAACCGTTTCCGCGCTACCAAGGGCCTGAAGACCAGCTGCTGTGACGCGTGTGGCACCTACATCAACACCTTCACCTCCCGGGCTGAGTACCTACTGCATGAGGGACAGCAGAGGAGGTTCTGCAACTCCTCGTGTCTCAGGCTGTATAAGATGGTGGGTGAATCTCTCTTCTTGAATGTACAGTCTTGTAATATTGAGTGATAAGAGAGTGATTTGTCTGCTTAGAGTGTTTAACATCTGAACGGCTGCTGTGTTGTCTTTGATTTCAGAAAAACACTAAGGTGCTCTCATGCCAGTGGTGTAGGACTCTGTGTAAGAACTTTGACATGCTGTCTAAAGTGGATCAGTATGGCAAGACCAGACACTTCTGTTCTTTGTGCTGTATCGCCTCACATAAAGTTAAAACGTCTGGGGACACAGGTACCTTCTACTCTCCTTGGCTTGTTTACTACTGTATTAATTCACCTTTTCTTAATCTGAATGTTTTGACATGATGTCTGACTGTGAATGGCTCTTCACTACTACTACTACTAATCTGTTTCTTTTCCAGTGCCCAGTGAAGCCTGCAGTTCCTGCAAAAGAAGCCCCTCTGAACCTTACTACTGTAAAACAAATGAAGCCGTGTATGTCTTCTGTAGCCCTAGCTGTTGGAGCAAATTTCAGGTAGGATAAACCCATACCCTGAATAGAGTTGGGACAACACTACAACCTACAGTGTTTAACCTCTTAAGGATCGGACCCTTTTTTCCCCCAATTTTCGCCTAAAATGACATACCCAAATCTAACTGCCTGTAGCTCAGGACCTGAAGCAAGGATATGCATATTCTTGATACTATTTGAAAGGAAACACTTTGAAGTTTGTGGAAATGTGAAATTAATGTTGGAGAATATAACACATTAGATCTGGTAAAAGATAATACAAACAAAAAAATTTTTTTTAATCATCTTCGAAATGCAAGAGAAAGGCCACAATATAATATTGCAGTTTAGGCGCAATTTAGATTTTGGCCACTCGACTGCAGCAGTGTGTGTGTGTGCAAAGTTTCAGATTGATCTAGTGAGCCATTGCAATACTGGACTATTTTGTATCAAGTCTGCCCAAATGTGCCGAATTGGTCAATTGTTACTTTTTCAAGTACATAACTATAGAGAACATGCAAAAATGATATGGTAATACAAAATGTAAGTTTACACACTCCCAGGAATGCCATACATGATGGATCATTAGCTTATACACTAACTTTCACACATCTAGATGGCCGGGCGGGGTGGGTGTGGCGCCAGAGACAGCAGAGGTTCAAACTGTAGAACCCAGTTCCTACATTTGAATATAAAAATGGATTTTATTAAACAAAACTATGCTACATTTTATATCTGGGACCCTTAGGATGACAAATCAGAGCAAGATTACTGAATGTAAGTACATTATTTACCTTCAGAGGTGAATGTACCAAACCAGTTGCCTAATGATACGTTTTTTATTGTTGTGCACTCTCCTCAAACAGCATGGTAGTTTTTCACTGTAATAGCTACTGTAACTTGGGACAGTGCAGTTAGATTAACAATAATTTAAGCTTTCTGCCCATATAAGACATGTCTATGTCCTGGAAAGTTTGCTGTTACTTACAACAGTCATGCTAATCACATTAGCGCACGTTAGCTCAACCGTCCCGTATACGGGACACCGATCCCGTAGAGGTTAATCATGCCTACTCTCAAAGATTTGTAGAACATTTTTGCATTAAAACATCGTCTGACAGATGTTTATACAACACTTTGTTATTTTATGTGCATTTGTTTTAAACATTTTTAATGCCTCAGTTGTTCAACAACAACAACAAAAAAATGATTTTTGGTGATGGATTCTGAAAGTGATAAAAAAGAAACAGTTAATATTTACAGTGTGATGTACAGGCTTGGCCGTAGGTGCCTGTTAAGCAGAAAAATGCTAGTTAAAATGCACACCAAGCAGCTGCAGTGAGGAGCTCAGCCTCACTTCTGGAGCCCATTAAAATAAAAACTCATCATAAAGCTCTTTAGTGTGGAGAGGGTCACCCTTTGAAAGCTTTCGCCTTTATTCTACAGAAAACCTATGAATTAGGGCTTGGTCTGTTTCTGCAAAACCCTCGCAATAAAATGTCTGAGAATGGGCTGAGACATTCTTGAGTCCCTCTTTGATACTAGTCCTGTGAGGTAGTTTTTTTTTTGCCTTGGCTTAATGTTTGCTGTTTATTCTCTTCTTGTTAAATCTCCAGTTTAAGAAATATACTCTTCTTCACAGAGCAACAGTCCCAATGGAGACATCTACTTCAACTGTCTCTCTTGTCATAACATGTTCAGTGGGGTACCAGAAATCTTAGACTGGCAGGTAATCCAAATTTGCCTTTTACATACTTGTTTTTTAGTTTACTAGTCTCAACATTGTGGCAAAAATGTTTTTTACGGCTGGTTTAGTGAAAACTGTTATTTTATCAAGACTACTTCAATAAGAAGTACATCCATTATTATGTGTGGTCCTGTATGGCTCAGTTGGTAGAGCATGACGCTTGTTACACCATGATTGAATATATTATTTTGTTTGCTTTCAGGACTCAATATATCAGTTCTGCTGTAAGGAGTGCTGTGAGGACTACAAGCGTCTGAATGGTGTGGTTTCTGTGTGTGAGCACTGCAACCAAGAGAAACTGCTGCATAAGAAGATAAAGTTCTCTGGGGTGGAGAAGACCTTCTGCAGTGACGGTTAGGATGATGCATGCATTTCTGTGCGCATTGTTATATGTAATAGATTGTTGGTTTACATGGAAACACTTTCCTGTGCGTCTAGGCAGAGACTTATGTTTGTCTGTTGTCTCTTTTTACCAAGGTTGCATACTACTGTACAAGCAAGACTTTGCTCAACAACTGGGCCTGTGCTGTATAACCTGTACATACTGTTCTCAGACCTGCTCACGGGCAGTCACAGAGGAACAGGATGGCAACACATGGGACTTCTGCAGCAAAGATTGTAAAAGCAAATACCTCCTGTGGTACCTGAAAGTATGTCCAAACAATAACAATTTCATATATACACCATGACCATATGACTGGCCCTGAAGTTTTAGATGGCTGCCGGTACACAGGCTGCATTCAGTTCACCCGCTTTCACTGTGCACAGTCTGTTGTATGTGGTAATATAGACATATTTGTTTGAGGAATGGTAGCTTCAGAATGTATGTGCTAAACTGCCAGAATATGGTTGTCATGATGTCATACATGACAGAAATAATCCAGAATATGCATGATTTGCGATCAAATTATGTGTTAGCAGTGTCATATATTACCAGGCTACAATGTGTATTTTGAGCTATGTGTGTTCTCCTAGGAAGCACAGTGCCATGCCTGCAAGCGTCAAGGGGAGCTCCTGGAGACCATCCACTGGAGGGGAGAGATCCAACACTACTGTGACCAGCCGTGCCTCCTGCACTTCTACAGCCAACAGAACCAGCCCAACCTAGACACCAAGCAGGGCCCTGGGAGCCTGCTCAGCAGTGCGTTAGCTTCACGTACACCAATACATGCATGCAAACAATACCCACACTTAGTTTTTCATTAACCCAATCCATACATGGGAATAGTTTTTTCTATGTGCGCTTTGTTGTAATATAATCGTTCAACGTTTGATTTTCACTGTTTAACATAATGTTACAGAGTTAGTGCTATTGCTTTTGTGATTTCCCTCAAATCTGTAAAATGTAAACATATGTTAGTCTCAGTAATTGGCTATTAAACTTCTATATGTTTACTGGACTTACAGGTCATTCCCCAGAGTCTACACCTCCCCCTGTAGCTACAAAGACAAGTGAAGTAAGTGTGCTTTTTGACTTGATGCTCTAAAAGGTGGGGGGGAAATGCAACCGAAAGGACACAAAAATGCATTTGATCATGGCTTTTACCACACAAACAAACGTATTCTCTGCTTGAAAAAAACTTCATTGGATTTTGAAATAAAGCTAAGAGCTACTTTTCTCTATAAAACTTATGCTGAGTGAACGTCCAAAAATTTATTTTTGTCAATTTTTCTGTTATTTCAGGCCACAGGAAGAGGGCTGAAGAGGACTGTAGCCAAGCCTGCTCCTCCCTTCACTCTACCTCTCTCCCAAAGGAACAAATCCTCCATGTGTAAACCCATGATGGCCACTACTGGTGTCGCATGTAAACCTGAGATGAAGTCCCAGAGTTGCCAGACAGGTAATGGCGAACGTAAACCCATGTCCATTTTTATAGACTGGTTGGCTGACAACATCACGAAAATGATGTGCCCGCATCGATGTGGCCGGAAGGCGTGCGTTATGATTCTGAACGATCAGATAGCTAGCAACAATGACAAGAAGCTGCCAAGTGGGGAGTCGTAGGTGGCTCGTTTCAGACCATTGTAGACTATATGACCAAAAGTATGTGGACATCTGCTTGTCGAACATGTCATTCTAAAATCATGGACATTAATATGGAGTTGGTCCCCCTTTTGCTGCTATAACAACCTCCACTCTTCTGGGAAGGCTTTCCACTAGATGTTGGAACATTGCTGCGGGGACTTGCTTCCATTCAGCCACAAGAGCATTAGTGAGGTCGGGCACTGATGTTGGGCGATTAGGCCTGGCTCGCAGTTGGCGTTCCAATTCATCCCAAAGGTGTTAGATTGGGTTGAGGTCAGGGCTCTGTGCAGACCAGTCAAGTTCTTCCACACAGATTTCAACAAACCATTTCTGTATGGACCTCGCTTTGTGCATGGGGGCATTGTCATGCTGAAACGGGAAAGGGCCTTCCCCAAACTGTTGCCACAAAGTTGGAAGCACATAATTGTCTCTGTAGCGTTAAGATTTCCCTGGAACTAAGGGGCCTAGCCTGAACCATGGAAAAACAGCCCCAGACCATTATACCTCCTCCACCAAACTTTACAGTTGGCACTTTGCATTCGGGCAGGTAGTGTTCTCCTGGCATCCGCCAAACCCAGATTTGTCCGTCAGACTGCCAGATGGTGAAGCGTGATTCATCACTCCAGAGTCCAATGGCGGCAAGCTTTACACCACTCCAGCCGATGCTTGGCATTGCACATGGTGATCTTAGGTATGTGCGTGTGGCAGCTCGGCCATGGAAACCCATTTCATGAAGCTCCCAACAAACGGTTATTGTGCTGACGTTGCTTCCAGAGGCAGTTTGGAACTCTAGTGAGTGTTGCAACCGAGGACAGATGATTTTTACACGCTTCAGCAGTTGGCAGTCCCGTTCTGTGAGCTTGTGTAGCCTACCACTTCGTGGCTGAGCCGTTGTTGCTCCTAGAAGTTTCCACTTCACAATTACAGCACTTACAGTTGACCGGGGCAGCTCTAGCAGGGCAGAAATTTGACGAACTGACTTGTTGGAAAGGTGGCATCCTATGACGGTGCCACGTTGTAAGTAACTGAGCTCTTCAGTAAGGCCATTCTACTGCCAATGTTTGTCTATGGAGATTGCATGGCTGTGTGCTCGATTTTATACACTTGTCAGCAACGGGTGTGGCTGAAATAGCCAAATCCACTAAATTAAAGGGGTGTCCACATACTTCTGTATATATAGTGTATCTTATTGATAACATGTCTTGTTTTGACTGATGTAGTGTCTATTCTAATATGGCTAAAATTCTCTAGCTCGCTAACCAACAACTGTAACGATGTAGTTGAGACAACAAGTGCTCATTGCAAATGTATGTTTTCAATAAACATTTGGACACTAAATATAGTTTATATAGTCAATTCTAAGCCAACCCTGTCTGTTTTGCCCCATAGTTGCTCACACATCACTTTTGTTTCTAAACAACCAACCTGTCTATGGGACTCACTGGTTAGTCTAACACTATATTTAATATTATTTCATATGTGTTTAATATTTTAGTTATTTTCTTTAAGAATCAATAGGTCTGTATCATTGATTTATAAGTCCAAAAATGGATGTAGCAACTAAGGATTCGCGTTTTAAACAAAACATCCCTATTCGTATGCTAAGAGCTTTATGTTAAATCAGGCCAACAATTATAATTAGCAATTGCAAAAAAAGCACCTTCATGGTTTTAATAAATATTGTCTGTTTCAGATGATTTCTTGCAGTCCCCACCTGTGGTGTTGCCTGTCCCTGTGCCTGTGTTTGTTCCTGTACCTTTGAATATGTACTGTCAGTACACTCCCATACCAATGGCCCTGCCGCTGCCGGTGAGTTGGTTTTGTCTAGGACCTGTTGAGTATTGTGCAAAATTTACTCTAGGCTTATCGTCATTAATTTCGAGTCTAGAGTAACTCTTAGTTTCCACCCAAACTTGTTCCTTATGGGTGCCTACACACTGCTGCAATAATGTCTGGTTCTCTAGAGGGACTGTCTGCTTATTGTTTTGCTCTTTATTCTCTGTTAGCTCCCTGTCCCCATGTTCCTACCTGTCACACTGGATCATATCGATAAACTTGTGGAATACATAAATGACCTGAAACTGCAGATCCCGTCTGATCCACTGGAGGCTGACATTCTGGCCATGGCAGACATGATAGCAGAGGAGAATAAAGGCAAGGGCTCCTCGGCTCTCTCTCTCTCTTCTTAGTCAACTTGCCATTGGTATTCTATATATAATTATTGTAACTATATGATGGTTATATGTGTTTATTTAGATCTGGACAGTGATCAGAGGGACTGCAGCTTATTTGATTCTACATCCCAAGATGACATCCTCTCCATGGCTGTCAATATGGCTGATGTACTGACTGAGCCAGGCCAAGACCCAGTAGATGAGCTCACCAAAGGTAGGTTCAAGCTTTATAATATGCAATGTCTAATGCAGGGGTATCCAACAGGTCAATCGTGAGCTACCAGTAGCTCGCAGCCCACCTGTGAGTAGCTCGCCAAACAATTCTGAAAGTACATGCATTTTTCATGTGTTCCACCGCAAACTGTCATAAACAAATCTCACAAGTATCAAGACACCGCAAGCTCCTTGCTACTATCAATGCAACATTTACATTATCCCACCCCTGGTGAGCCGCTATTTGCTTAAAAAGACAAACCTAACACAATACCTGCCAATTAATTTCTAGCAATATTGCCACTGTCTGTGTGGTGCATGCGTTTGTCTATCACTCAGTGTGTAGCCAGTTGATGTGATACCGTCTTGAGGGTTGAACAAAATACTTTCCCCAAAACCTTCTCAATTAAATGTTAACTGCAGAGCAGGCTTACCTGGCAGAAATATATCATGAGTAAGTATGTCATTTGTATTTGTTATTTGCAAACTTTGCCATGAAATGAGCAGCAGCCGTACAGAACCATCCTAGACCGGCACATTCCTCACTCGCTAGATGCGCAATTAAAGGGCCAGATGCGCAATTACACTCAATCCAAATGTATTACTTTTCTTCCAGACCTAAAAATGTTCTTCTGATGTGATTTAAGCATTGACATGGACTCCGAACATCCATTTCATTGTTTTCTTTGAACAATTGTAATTTTCAGAGTGAAAACAAAAAAATATATAAAACCAGGAAAAAGGAAACTGAGAGAACATAATTTGGGAAAGTATAAAACAGAATTTGTAGATTTGTATAGGACAGACACTTCAAAACCTTATTCATTATGATTCTTTTTTTGGCTGTCCTTTTTGCCATTTATGAATGTGTTATTCAATGTGTTTCTCTGGGCTATAGTAGTAAAGGCCAAATTCAATATTTTATCAAATAGATTTTTGATTAAAAAAATTATTCCTAAAGGGGTCTCAAAATTCCGAATCCAATAGCTAAATTATCCATGTTTTGACCGTCTTAAAAACAATTCCATATGTTAGCTTAGTAGAACCCCGCCCCCACGACTTACAGGACCTGGGGAAGAGTTGCAGGGGAGGAGAGAACAATGTGCCTATTTGAAAGCTAGGGGGAAAAAATAGTAGCTTGCAACATGTTTCATTTTTTAAGTTGTTTTAATGCTATAAAAGGTTGAAGACCCCTGATCTAATGTGTAGTTTGCTTTGCCGTCTGAGATGTGTAAACGTACACTATAATTGCACACACTCTCAACAGTCTATGATATATATTTTGTGTCCCTTATCATTTGTGCTCTTTAGCTTCCCTGGACCTGAACCCCAATGTTGATTTCCTCTTTGACTGTGGGATGCCGCCACATGCTACTTCAACAGAGCAGAGCTCCGACGTCGCTGTTCAGAAGGTATAATTAAACACAGCCTACAATACGTGTATTCTGTCTGTCTTTTATAGACCTTACTTTACTTTCATTTTGTATTGAATTAAATAGTGTCAGAAAAGCGTCAACTTATGTGAGCGACACAGTGGAATCACATGGGATAAAACTGGCACAAACATGAGATGTCTTAGTGTCAGACTTACCGGAGACCAGTGGTCATGTTCTGCGTACTTAGACAGGTGCAACAGGGTCACAAAGGTGAAATGGTTGAAAAACAAATATATCCCTGGTGGAAGGCAGGAAGGCATGGTCCCCAACACACGGCTCATGTAACATAAGGCAACAGTCACCAAACCTACAAGATGGACTGCTTACTAATGAAAAGTGTCCTTCTTAAAACGAGATTATTTGACATATATACTGAGAAATTTACTTTCGCGCTTTGGTGGTCTCTTGGACCAGACAACGTGTTAATGATCATTCCACATGTAGAATTTATGTAATGGGTGCACTCGAAGAGAATATGAATAACTAACTAACCAACTACAGTAACTAGCCCTTAACAGGTCATAGCAGTGTGATGTCTAATATAGGCTTTGTGTCACAGGGTCCCAAGCGTCAGGCCATGTCAGAGATGACCCTGCACGATCCCCTGGACAGTCAGCCTCTCGGCGCTGGTTTGAACAGCTCCCTTGGGGTCAAAGCCTGGAGGTCATGGGCCCAAAGCAAGCACTCGGACGCTGACTACAGAAAACGTAAAATATCTCTTGAATGGAACTTTTAAATGTACCCATCTTTGATAGTTCTCCTTTGAGTTTGATAGATCTCCTGTGAGTAAAATGGGCAGTAATGTTTCAATGTAATCCTGATAATAAAGTGCCTGTTATTTTCTCCCATATAGAGAAACCATTAGACCTTCTCTTGTGCAGTCCTGAGGAACTGAACCATGGCCTGTCGCAGTTTGTCCAAGACATTGTTCATCCTAGAGGACCATGCTACAAGCCTGACAGTGTATTTTACCTCTGTCTAGGGATTCAACAGGTCAATCCCAATTTCATCATGGTTTCAGTCTTGTAGTTAATATTTGCAACTTGTTGAAGAGTCCCTTATTAAAATCTTAAGTGATTTTATTTTTTAGAAAATGTCTATTTTGTTTACACGGTGTGTTCAACTTAAACATTTGATCACAGTGGTCTTGTATATTTTCCAGTATCTCCTTGAGAACAACCGGATGGTGAATATATTCACAGACCAGTTATATGTCACCTTCGCTGAGGAGCTGAATAAGATTGTCAGCCAATGGCTGCCTTCTATGTCACCTAACGGTGAGTTCATATTTCTATTTATTTTCACACATTTTGTGTATGTGTTGTATTTGGGGTGTAAATAATGTATTTGTGTGTGTTTGGGTGCAGGTGCTCTCAGTTCTCGTGTCCTGGAGGAGCACCTGTGGGAGTGTAAACAGCTGGGTGTGTACTCTCCCTTTGTCCTGCTCAACACCCTCATGTTCTTCAACACCAAGTACTTTGGTCTGACCACTGTGGAGCAGCACCTCCAGCTCTCCTTCTCTACAGTCACGCGCCAGGCCAAGAGGAGGTCTACACCACATGGCATGGTCAAGTCATCTAGTGTCTGCTACCACCCCAAATCACATCACAAGAGAACAAGTAAAGGTGAGAGTTTGTGTGCCACTAGCTAGGTTTCCATCTAATTGATGACAGATTTTCATGCGAATATTATAACATCCTCATAGAGAAAATATACGCATTTTCCCACCAGTGGTGTGTTTCCACCAAACAGACTTGTTGCAGATAAGTCAGTGCGTGATGACTTAGTGGGGGCTCCCGGGGGCTCCCGAGTGGCGCAGTGGTCTAAGGCACTACATCTCAGTGCTTGAGGCGTCACTACAGACCCCCTGGTTCGATTCCAGGCTGTATCACAACCGGCCGTGATTGGGAGTCTCATAGGGCGACGCACAATTGGCCCAGCGTCTTCCGGGTTTGGCCGGTGTAGGCCGTCATTGTAAATAAGAATTTGTTCTTAACTGACTTGCCTAGTTAAATAAAGGTAAAAAATAAATAAAAATACAATGTACTTTTTCGCTTAAGTTTTCATGTACCGAATAAAAATCAAAAGTTCAATGTGTTTCCATCGAATTTTCAACTCTGTGCCTACTCTGGTCTTGGCATGTGCACTCTAGCCAACAGCTGGCAGATACAGTGTGTGGGTAGGCTAGTCTACATGGTGAGATTATTATTATTTGTCAAACGGCAGTCAAGCATCGATCATCATGTCACCAGAATAAGACCCTCGATATTTATTGGAAAGGAGCATCAAGATCGACGTGCACTTTCACCACCCTGTGAAATTCATCATAACGTTGCGTGACTCCAAGTTTACTTCGATATGATGGTTATTATATCAATATTTACGCATAAATGAGTTTCCACCACAATTTCTCGCATAATTCATTATACCGACATAAAAAAGATCCCACCATGTCAAATGGACAAATGATCTGTCATCATTTATAAAATTGTACCGAAACTACCTGTTTCCATCACAGCTGTGGTGATTATTTTATTGTTTTACAGTATGACTTGACACGCTTAAAAACTGGATGGGGAAATGTGGTTAGTGTACCAAGTCACATCACAACATTAGCGTTCATTTGTATTTTCCATGTCTGAGATTGGTTTTGGTAGAAGAAAGCCCAGTGCATGAGAAGTGTCAGTATGCGCTGTAGCCCAATGGAAGATTGGCTAGTTGTCATTCCCAGTAATGAGAGATTGGTTGCTTTGGGTCATGGGTCATGACCCCAGCCTGGGGGGGAAGCAGGTCACCTATCTTGAGTTGTACCACCTTTCAGCTGAATGACAGGGGGGCTGACCAGGGCTAGAAAATGGAGTCATTACATGAATATCTACAACTAGGTGAAATTAAATCTTTGAGTTCATATTTAGAATGTTTGAAAGTCTAGTATAGAGTTATGAGGTCCAGTTTAGTGGTAAGAATGTATTTTTCAAAACATCCTAAAAATACTGTACTTGTAGATATAATATGCTATTCCCAACAAAACATATTTTCAACTCCAGTAATTTATATAATTTGGATGTATACTTGACCAAGGCGTGGTAGGGTCTTTGCCTTTATCTGCTAAGGAATGATAGGAGTTGACATGTCTTAAAGTAACTCTTAGAGCCTGGGTTTTTCTTATCATTAACTCCCCTTATCACTACAGTGTTTTTAAAATGCAATTAGATGATGGTGATGGGTAATTCTCTTAGGCAGGGACCACCACTCCTAAACATGGTGCATCTGACCCCAAAGAGCTTCCATTGAAGATAAATTAGTAAAAACCGTTAAACTAGCTTCCGGCGATCAAATAACATGGTGCCAATGAGTTGGACTGCCTGGAGTATAACACTGCAATGCCTGTGAAATTGTCCTGGTGCCAGTTGTTTATTTATAACATATAGACTAGCCTAGACCCACACCTCCATCCTACTCAGTGTTTCTCTGTTTACTGGCATGTTCTGACTGAAACATAATCACGTGTTTTAACGTAGGTCTATTTTGAACTCGGCCCGACCATTCTCTGGATATCAGTGTCACTAGCTAGATTTCTCAGTGGCTTTGTAGGTCAGTTTGAAATTGATCAGTTTGGTACTATTGTGGTTTTATGCTGACGTATAAAATAAATGATTTTAGGGTGACATCACCTGTTGACAGTTTGTGTTCTATGAGTGCTTGTCTTAAATATTACAAATAACAGTGAGAGACCTGTTGATGTAGGAGAAGGAAGTTGTTTGCCCCCTTCCCCCCCGGTTGGTCCATACTGCTATTCTCAGTGTGTCGGACGGCTATTTATACCACAGAGTGGAGTTCTTTGAAGAGCTGCTCTCAGCATGGGAGGTGTACCATGGTATGTGTCTTAGAACTGGCCCTGGCCATACACACTACAAACACCAACCCCTGGCCTGTCACTGTTTGCCAAGGGAAAACCAGGAAGCTAAAAGGAGCTGTGGAGCAACTCGGAGTCGTGCAACATGATATATTAGTAGAGAATCTCTGACTGAATGTCTGAAAAGTGTTTTAGATGTAGCTAGTGGCACAATAAATAAAGTCTAAAGTCCATATATCAACGTTGGATAAAACATGTGGGCTTGTGACCTTCATGATATCCAAAAGTACCTTTTTGTAGGAAAGACCATTTCAAAATAATATTCATTTTATTAACCTTTTATAGTATGAAAGACGGTGACAAAAAAAACTAAACTGTTCCCCATAACTGTCTGGCCATCAGCTTAATCCGTTTAGCTTGGCCCTAACTGTAGCCAAGTGTTAAAATAAACACCAATGGGTCAGTCAGACAGTGAAGTGAGCCTGTACTCTGTTCTGTTTACACACAGAGGGCGGCTTGGGAAAGAGGAAACGGGATGAGCCTTCTGAGCTGGAGCAACAAGAGAACCGGTTGAACCCTCTCAGATGCCCCGTCAAATTCTTTGAGTTCTACCTCTCCAAATGGTAAGCAATGTGGACTGGCCAGGTATGCACAGCAGCGTTTAAAACGCCAGTTGAAGGCCTTGGACTATCCCTGAATTTGTTTAATACATTGGAATGAATAAATTAAACCGTACAGTTTCCTTTCTTAGATTCACATATGGTGTCTGTCTTTGTGTTCTTACAGCTCTGATGGTGTGCGGAGCAGCTGCAGTGCATTCTACCTGCAGCCGGAGAGCACATGTATGGCTGAGAGTCCTCGCTGGTATTCTGACATCCCCATGGACAAGGGCAGGCTGGGAATTATGCTCAACAGGATCCTGGCTCTCAAGGATGTCTATGATGAGCACCCGGGACAGGGAGACATGGACTGAAAGCCACGCAACAAGTTTATATAGTGTACATTGCTGATGTGGAAGCCGCTAGCACAAGGGATGACGGGCATAAGTTACTTTTTCAATTTTTTTATTTAGTCATTTAGACGCTCTTATCCAGAGTGACTTACAGTAGGGAGTGCATACGTTTTCGTACTGGTCCCCCGTGTGAATCGAACCCTCAACCCTGGCGTTGTAAGCACCATGCTCTACCAACTGAGCCACACAGGACCCACAACCCTGGCATTGTACTAACTACAATGCCTTTGGTTGTCCCATGGTTGTTAAGTCACCCCTACACAAATAGTTCAGTGAGCATTTCCCCTATAGAATTACCATTGTAGCTAGATCTGTATAGAAACTATATTAGCACTGCAGTATACCACCCTCAGTTCAGATAATGTATTTGGAACGCTTAGGTACTTTGGGCACTGTCAACGACAACTAGTTGAAACGTCTGTGGTTCGTATTGGAAACCCATATATTTGTTTGTTATGAAGTGTACAGAACAGCTGTATAAAAGTCATTTACTTTAGTTCATAAAACCATTTAATTGACACTGAATTTAACCCCCTATGCTAGCCTCACTGGATTTTTTTTTCATTCAAAAGCTTAATGTTCATACACTGATAATATAAACAATAATGTTCAACTTAAACACTTTAAATCTGTGTTTACCATGTGGCCAGTGAGGTGGAAACCATTTATTGCTGCCAGAGATGTTCACATGTACAGTATCAAGAAACTCAGTCATGGCAGTCCTTTTACTTCATAGCTAATGTGTATATATATTGCCCTTCATTTAAGAATTTCTTATTGTTACAATCATATAACCAACTGTTCATTAAACCACACAAAAGAAGCCTAACTTCATGATATCTTTTTATTTTAAACTTTTTGATCCTGCTTAGATTGTATTGTCTTTCATTTACAAACTAGTACGGTTTAATGCATTTTCTGTCCTGAATGTCTTGAGAAAAGTTGATAATGTACTATAAAGTTTATTTTCTGTCTTTTTCTAATTGAAGGAATCAAGAATGAATGTCTTGTACAAATTCTTCATAAACAACAATTCACTATTCATGGTTGTAAAATCAATCAAATGCATGCTGCATCTTAACTTTCTGGTGGGTAGTCTGTGCCCAAAGCATTACACAGACGAGCAATTGCTTTGGCATTATTTCCAGTCAGAATAATCAACATGTGTGTTCATAAGGAAACAACTTGTCTTGGAACACATTGAAATATTATACTGCGCATGGCAAATGTTTGACTGATGAGAGAGAACCTCCAACAGTTGCTGTTTGCGTGCCCAAGCTAACTAATTTATTAAGCTTTGGACTTCAATTGGCCTCGGTCTCTTTGCATACAGACTCGCTGGCAACCCTCTCCAGTTAGCGATATGGCACTTGTCCAGGGAGTACCCTTTACCTCTGGGAGTTGTGCGAGTCAGACTTGGGTCTCGTCAGTTGACCAAGGGATTGTTCTGTACAGGAACATAACTGAAGAAGAACAGGAGCCCACCTCTGTTTCTAGCACTGCACATAGAACACACAGCATCTGACATGCTTTTCAGTTGAAGTTAAGTTTTCAGGAGTAAAATGTTTAATGAGAATCAACTACCTTGAATAATTAAAAACTATTATCCTAAGCCTCCACAGAAGGTTTTTGTTTCTGGCCCCTGACAAATGAGGTGGTGATCTATCCTGCTTTGTCTGTTTTCACCCCTCAAATGGCCCAATACTTTTCCCCCACCAGAGGTGGAAACACGAAAGTTTTAATCTTTAGGCCAAGCAGCTGTATAAAACCCTGTGGTGGAAATGCGCCTTAACTGGCCCTCAGATCTTCAGATCATCTAGTCTGGTCTTACTATTGCTGTGCTTGCTGGATCGCCGTTGTTTCTCTGAAGGCGACCCTGGAGCAGAACTGGAGCATTTCCTTTCTGTGGTGTCACCCCCTTCTGGTTTACTGTTCATCTCTACAGCCAGGTTGTCTCTGTTCTGCTTGTAAGCCACTTTGCTGTTGTAGGGGTGGTAGGTAGAGTCAGGCTCATTCAAGATGTACTGATCTGCATGGTAGGGCTCATTGGCTGGGTGGTGCCTGGGGAAGTAGTTATAGTTTGGGACAAAAGGCACCACTGCCTCGCTGGGGGCCTTGGACCCTGTCTCACATGTGGACTGGGCACATCTGTACCGGCGGCACTTGGTGAACCCCAGGTGATACATCTCCACTATGTTTAGCACCAGTGAGACACATGCCACTGCCAACATGAAGAGGATGAAGATAGTCTTCTCTGTGGGCCTGGAGATGTAGCAGTTCACCACGTTGGGGCAGGGTGAGCGGTTGCAGGTGTACAGAGGCTTCAGCTCAAACCCATAGAGCAGGTACTGAGCGATGATAAATACCACCTCGAACAGGGTTTTGAAGATGATGTTGAAGACGTATGTGCGTAACAGGACCCCCTGCAGGCGGATGCGGCCAAAGTCGTCCCGGACGGGGGGCTTCTTGGGCTTGGCGTCGGGCAGCAGCTGCTGCTTGTCATTGTGGATGGCCAATTGCGCAGCCAAGTCTTTCTGCTTCTGTTTCTCCTCCATGCGCACCAGGTGCAGGATGTGGCCCAGGTAGATGAGAGTGGGTGTGGACACGAAGATGATCTGCAGCACCCAGAAGCGGATATGAGAGATGGGGAAAGTCTTGTCATAGCAGACATTCTGACAACCAGGCTGCTTGGTGTCGCAGGTGAAGCCAGACTGCTCATCACCCCACACCTTCTCAGCTGCAGCTCCTAGCACCAGGATCCTGAAGATGAAGAGCACGGTCAGCCAGACCTTGCCTACTACGGTGGAGTGCTCCTGGGCACTCTCCAGAAGCTTGCCCAACAAGTTCCAGTCCGCCATAGTGGCTTACTCATAGGCTCAGTCTTACAGAGAGATCCGAAACAGGAACCTGCAATCAGAATAAAAACATAATGTAAACGAACTGCATCAGACAAACATCACAATTAGATTGAAAACCATTGCATAAAAACGTGGATAGTTTGAGGAAAATGCCTCACCGTAACTATATTATTACACCTAGGGTGGCATAAGAAATTAACCTATACTGATGCATTTTCATTTATAATGTATTTGGTTGTAAAAGCTTGCATTTAAAGATAAGAGCCAAGTATTTTTTACTGTTGCTAAACAGACCTCTCCAGCTCAATAATTTGTTTGTAATTTAGTTTTTAGCTTTGTATTTTTTTGAATGTGTTTCTGTAAATGAACCAGATTCACTTCTATATATAATGTTCTGCTACACGTTTCTGTGGTTCTGTTTCTTCTAGCATGAAAACATTTGTTCAATACATTACATTAATTTGGTCCCTGCAGAGACCAATTAAGCGAGATTGGTGCTTCCTGGCAATAATTTGCCATTATTTCTCTAAAGAGAAAGTAATGCCCATGCTTTGACTAGTTCGCAATATATGGCCTTGTCCTTTCCACACAGTTTATTTTTCCTAATCCCCAAAATGTGAGCGGTTCTGAAAAACAGGAAGAAAAGTATAATGTTGGTCATGTTCCTAGAGTGTTGTCATATGCTTGTGAAACGTCTTGTAGAAAAGCTCAGGGTGGTCCATGCATATTTTTTGGTTTTACCTCCATTATTCTGAGATAAATAATTTCCTCAAAGTTCCTCTGTTTTCATTAGCATGTTTAATTTGACATAGTGGCTGCGGGTCCTTCATTTAATGGACACATCACAGGCAACAGCACGATATAACACCTGTTTCCTTGAGGAGAAACCGCCCATCAAGTAGACCTAGGGTTGCAAAATTCCAGGAACTAACTTTCAATAAATTCCCTGGTTTTCCAGAAATCCTGGTTGGAGGATCCGGGTTTCCTGCTTATTCCCTACTAATTCCAGTAATCTTCCAACCGAGATGTCTGGGAAACCAGGGAATTTCTTGAAAGTTCCCGGAATTTTGCAACCCTAAGTAGACCACTATCATGTTATTCGTTGGAGGTGAGATGTGAGCACATTGTATGAATGGATGATGAATATTCATCACAGTCAGTTAGTTGTAGGCTACTTGAAATGTTGTGTTTAGTGTATTCAGTATGCAATATATCAGGAATAGATCATACCAATAGGCTGACACCCATTTGAAAGGTTCTACAGTATACTGTATGTATTTCACCCTCATACTGAACCTGTTCGTAGTCCCAAAAGACCCTGCCTGTCATTTTAGAATTATATGTACAGTGCCTAGTGAAAGTCTACACCAAGGTTAAAACTAATCTTGAAAAACAATTGAGTAAAATTAAATTATTTACAAACATGTTTGAAAAACAAAAACTATACTGAAACTATTATGTTTGACTCCAAAACGAAATAAAATAAAAGCTATCATTAATTATGTTCAGTTTTAGTATTTTTTCTCAACTTTGGGCAATCAAGCTTTTGGGGGATTTTCAAGCTACTGAATATGGCTGGTAAATGTGGCCAGGAGATGGCAATGTTTCAAAAAGGCCTAGCTTGTGCATAACTATCACTAGCCAGTGTTGCCAACTTAGCGACTTTGTCGCTATATTTAGCGAGTTTTCAGACCCCTCTAGCGACAAATCTAGCGACTTTTTCTGGTGTTATTGGAGACTTTTGGAGACTGATGTGAAAGCACATATCGTTCTTACTCTTCTCAATGAGCAGCGGGTGCTGCCGTGGGCCCCGAGCAGCGGGTGCTGCCGTGGGCCCCACCCCCGTGGGCCCCACCCCCGTCCCAAAGTACTCACAGGCGGCCCAGTCCTCGCGCAGCAGTCCCTCCAAGCTGCAGTCAGAGCAGGAGATGTTCACCCCTCCATGTCCAGACTGCAAATGAATCGCGCATGCGGGAAGCCGCCGCTGGCTGATCCCGCCCAGGCGGGATGTAAATGTAGGGTGTTTTTTACTCACTTTTTGTCTCTCCCACAACGTTATTCCTCTCTCCTACAGCGTCCATCACAATTACATGCACATGGCCAATTATGCAAATTAGGTGATGACATCATTTAGTGACTTCTAGCGACATTAAGGACATCCAATAGCTACTTTCCTTACTGAGGAGTTGGCAACACTGTCACTAGCTATCACTAGCTAACAAGAGGAAAAACGGCTAGGTAGCTAACTTGATTCTTCTTACATGTACTATTAAGGTTAAAAAGCATCGGATTGGCGAGAGAAAGTTTCCTTTTACCTTTTTTTTTGCACCATTCCATTCCTTTTAAAACCAAGTCACTTTGAGATTAACTTTATAATTTAAACCTAACCTAACCATAGCTCTTGAGAACCGAAGACCATACAGCCATAGGGTTCTCATTTGAACAATTGACCAGAGCTGGGCCAACGTTTACAACTGTCCCGACGTTCCATCTAACCGTTAATAATCACTGTGTACGATACGATTTTGGAAATCACTTTCATATCAACCCAAAATGATTTAACAAAGAAAAAATATATATTTACTGTGCGCCGTTTTAACACAGATTCCCACAGAGGTGTTTTGCATTGCACTTCCTGAGCTAATTGGAGAGAAAAAACGTAGGAAAAAAACTTAGGCTCGAAGCTGTATTACACAAAAAACCTCTGTATAAATCTGTGGTAAAACAGCTAACAGTAAATGTTTCTTTCTTATTTGTGAAGTTATTTTTGAATGATAATGAAGTCGTGTTCAAGGTTTCCCAAACCCTATCACAAGCAAGAATTGTTTCTAGATAGAACGTTTCACTCTTTACTAAATCTCCTCAGCTAATCAAAAGGGACGTGGAATGACTCCAACGTAGCATTGGAGTCATGAGAAGGGCTAACCTAACCTACTGTATGACCTGACCCATCACCTTGTGTATTACTGCCCCCAAATTGCAAGAAGTGACATCCCCAAAAACACACAAAAAACAATACAACCAAAATGGCTCCTATGCATGCTTTCGGTCCCTAACCCTAAAACTGAAACTTAATCATATAAAAATCATATAAAAAAAAATATTTTTATACAATTTAAACTAAATAAAAACTAGCAAATCAGGTTTGAAAACGAATTGAAACTAAACTGAATTCAAAAAAAAAAAAAAAAAAAAGAGAGAAAGAAATTTAAACGAATATAAAAACACAAAACTATAATAACCTTGGTCTACACAACAGTCTTAACATTTTGCTGTTTTAAAATTACATTTGAAAAAAATCATACCGATGTACACAACATACTCCACATTTTCAAAGTGAAAGAACAATTACAGAACATTTTCTAAATAAATAAAAAAACGAAGATGTCTTGATTGAGTATGTTTTCACACCCCAGTTAATAGCTGGTGGAAGCGCCTTTGGCAGCCATTACACCTGTGAATAATTTTGAATAAGATTCTACCAACTTTGCACAACTCCTAGGGCAACATTTATCCATTGTTTTGGTAAGAAATGGCTCAAGCTCAGTACATTTGGTTGGGAGTCATTGATGGACAGCAGTATTTAAACCTTGTCTCTGATTTTCAAGCAGATTTAAGTAGGACTTAGACTGGACCATTCAGGAACACTCAACATCTATTGGCATTAATATTTGTGTAATTTTCCAGCTGAAAAATAAAACCCTATCCCAGGGTTCGTAATTCAGAAGACTGAGGCAGGGTTCCCTCTAACTTTTTATCTGGGCTTTGCTTCTTTCATGTTTTTTGTTTATTTTTATTCTGACAAAGTCCCCAGTCCATATTACCTTTTTAGATTTCATTTTAAAGCAGAAAAATGTGCAAGGGGTGTGTAGACTTTCACTAGCGACTGTATGTATGAATACCCATTGAATGCAAACTAAGTACTGACTGTACCCAGAGAGTATGCACTGGAGCAGGTAGTGGCCAGTCCACTGTAGCCTACAGCCAGGCAGTGTAAACCGGAAATCAGATGGAGGAGCACCAAGACAAACACACTGACACACACATGGCCTCAATAGGTTGAAGCTCTTTTCTCCATAGATATAGGTTTCCAGGGGTTGAGTGGTCACTTTAGTAAACATACTGATTGATGCCAGTTAGACTTGCGTATGGAAGTGGCGGTCAGGTTCCCAGATGAGTTTCACTTTCCACACAGGGATTTTAAAGTTATTAAAAACTAGGCTGCTGTTACCTAAGAGCGTTCCATGACAGTATAGTGTACATGTGGATGGCCAAGAACTTGTCTCAATCTAGGACCTTCCCTGATTACATTCATCATAGTCCGTGGTTTAATCATCTCAGACTTCATCTGCTAAACTTTGCTCTTATTACACACTAATATTATTTGATAACAACACTGGCCTGGTTAGTAGAGACAGTAAAGCATTGCACTGCAACTACACTCACTGAAATGGTTGACTTCCCTCGTTACAGTTTTTGAACCATTTCAGAAATTCAGAGACTAATACATTTCTGGTTTCCAATTGGTTCTGGGAATGAAGCAATACGTTTCCTGATTGGTAAAACTGAATGTTTTTTAAACGTTATGAGAACGGAAGTGAACATTTCGCCTATTCTGGGAACGTACATTTTTAGGTTCTGAGAACTTTGGTTCCCTGAATGTTTTTCTGGGAGGTTTTATTAATGTTCTGAGAACATGTTTAAATAAAACTGATAGCTTAGTTTAACTGTTTTGAACAAGCATAGACAGGACACTTATTTGCTTAAGCAATCATGCAAACCAATTTTTTATTTTTTATTGTGGGATCGCGTCAGTGAGATTCAAACCTATGATCTTCTGTTTTCAACCATGGAATTTGTCTGCTGCACCACCAGGATGGAGCTAGGATGCCATGTTCTTTTAACTCATACAAAGCTGTTCAATTTAGTCTATTCAAATAGACCCCATTTAAAAGGAAACAAGCACTCATTAAGATCAGGTGTGGCCGATTAATGGGCGGGTACTGGAATGTGTAATGGCTGTATGGTAGAGGAAATGGTTGATGTATTATTATTTTGTGAAATGTATGATGTAGAAAGGGAGAAGTTGTTTGACAGGGTCAGAGAGGTTGGAAGGGAATGAGGAGTGGGTGGTATTTTGGGTGGGGGTAGTGAGGTTTGAAGGGAATTATTTTATTTTATTAGAAATTCAGGTTTAAGGGCCTCCCGAGTGGCGCAGCGGTCTAAGGGACTGCATCGCAGTGCTTGAGGCATCACTACAGACCTGGGTTAGATCCCAGGCTGTATCACAACTGGGAGTCCCATAGGGTGGTGCACAATTGGCCCAGCGTCGTCCGGATTAGGGGAGGGTTTGGCCGGGGGGGGGCTTTACTTGGTTCATCATGTTCTAGCGACTCCTTGTGGCGGGCCGGGTGCCTGCAGGCTGACCTCGGTCGTCAGTTGAACGGTGTTTCCTCCAACACATTGGTGTGGCTTCCGGGTTAAGCATGCGGGTGTTAAGAAGCGCGGTTTGGCGGGTCATGTTTCTGAGGACGCAGGACTCGACCTTCGCCTCCCGAACCCGTTGGGGAGTAGCAGCGAGGAGACAAGATCGAAATTGGGAAGAAAAAAGGGGGTAAAAAATAAGTGAAATTCAGGGTTAGTTAAGAGAATATAGTGGTATAGATAGGTTGTGACCGGCCTCACACTTCAGTACAGTAGGTGGCGATGTATGCACCTGTCAGTTGGTTGTGATTTGCCAATAAAACTTCAAGAAGAAGACAAATTAATGGATGCGGCCAACACACCTGAGCACACTTAACAATATAGAAGATATAGTTTTGTTGATGCTGAGAAGAACTGAATGTATATGTTTTTAAATAACATTATTAGAACGTTCTCTGAACTTTATTAAAGTTTTCTTGTGGTTTTTATGGAAAGTTTTCTTAACGTTCTCGGGAACAATTTGAAAACATTACTTTAAATAGAACCATGAGGAAACCTGTACAGCAGGAAACGTTATGCTGAAGTACTGAAATTCCCACAGAAAAAGTTTTTTCTTAACATTCTCGGAACAATGTGAGAACATGACTTTAATAGAACCATGAGGAAACCTGTACAGTAGGAAACACTATCCTGAAGTACTGAAATTCACACAGAAGAAAGTTGTTTCTTAACGTTGTCGGAAGAATGTGAGAATATGACTTTAAATAGAACCACAAGGAAACCTGTAAGAAACGTTATGCTGAAGTACTGTAATTCCCACATAAGAACATTGATTCTCTGAACTAATTTGAGAATATTCCCAATGTCAAACCAGTGTGAGAACATTCCTAGAACATTACCAAAATTTAAATTAAATGTAACCATCTTTGAACCTTTACAAAATGTTCTGTTAAAATAATGAAATACCAAGAAAATAATGTTTTTATTGTTCTTAGATGTGCTGAGAATGTTCCAAAGCCAAGCAACTATCCTGCATCATTCCCAGAAGTTTTGGGAAGGTTGTATGCAACAACAAAATATATATATACTTCATGCTGAAGTACTGGTTATGCAAAATAACACGCTTTCACCAATCTCTAAGAACCATATGGTTCTCAGGATGTTATGTGCTAGCTGGGTATTGACCATATTAGTGACCATATTAATGATTTCTAATGTGATTCTTCAGTCGAAACTTCTATAGACACAGTGCGTCAAGACCCACCTTCCCATAATGCTCATCTCCAGTGGAATTGCAGATCCAGTGGTGGCGTCTCCACTTAGGTCGCTATCACAGTCTACACTGTGGTACTCCTGTCCCCGACAAGGCCATGTCCTTTGATAGTGATGACACTACACTACAAATGTTAAGCGCTCTTGTCTCCAAATGGTTTCAACTAGTTTTCAGCTCTCGTTGAATCTCCTTACTAACGCCCAATAAATGTGTCCTGTAAAAGTAACCACCAATAGGACCTCTGTAAGCACCCTCTTTCACTGTGTCAGTTAGCTAGGATGAGAACACTCACTCCCTGTAGAGAATTATAAGGCCCACTGCTAAAGTGATGTTTCTTTACGACTGAGTGGCGTTAAAGTAGCCCAATGGGGGGAGTGGGTTTAAGTCTTGCGTGGCATGGCTCTAAATATAATTCACTGTGAAGGGAGTGGCTGTGCTATCACACTCAGGGGGCTTGGGGGGGTTGGTGAATTGGAGTTGAAAGGTAAAGTGTTCCAAGGCCTGTGGCTGTGTGGGGTGGGAGAGCATCAGAAAATGGAAAAGGTGGGCCCTCCCTTCATTGTTATGGCACGTACTCCGGTGTCATTATTGACAGGCTGACCAGAATCTCACAGTCTGTGGTGGTTGTAAATTCAACAGAAGACATCCTTCCAAACAGAGGCAGTTAGCTATATTTACTTTACCTAAAACAGAAAAAACTATGTTTTGTTAAACTGACCTCTGTTCATTGTATGGATGAAATCATAACCCTTTAAGCATCAAATTGTATGGTCAGATAAGTCAACAGAGAACACATAGCACATATGGTACATTGCAAATCTGCACTTTGAAAGGTACATTATGAATGCTTACCATATGACTTCTGTGAAAAAGGTGCTGTATTTATCCATTAACAGCTTGTTAAAAGCAAAGTGTCAGGTAAGAATAATGCCAGATAACATCTACATTTAGTGGAGTTATTCATAGCGGACAGTGAAAATCATTGTGATTAGATGTCTCCCTTCTCAGTCAGACCTCACACCTGATAGACTCTCTATATATGGTCTCTATTGACGTGCTCCAGAAAAAGACAAATGCCTTCACACCTGCCCCTGCTAGGTCCAGCTGTCCCCAGGGTGAATATTTCTTAGCCTCAGAGACTGAACTGACCCCTCACAAGGCTACGCTATTGATAACCTGGGACCATGCACTCTACCCGGCCAGTCTATGGTTTTAATTGCTGAAGCTTCCTCAGACATTTCCTCACAGGTGGTCTGACAGCTCACAAGAACTCCAGCATACAGTACCTCTGACTTTAAAAAGCTTCACGAGACTTCATTCTTTGATTGTGTTTCAATCAATACAATCTATGGATTGGATTTTTCTCTTTCCTATTCTTACTCAATGGCACTGTCAAATGATCATAACAGCAGAGAATCTAAAAGCCATTAGTACCTGATGTTTTGGTTAGTTTTATGTGTTTGTGCTGCTCTCCTGTGGCTTTCTGAAGTATTACATAAAGACTTTGTATTGACCACCTTGTAACTCAAGACAACACACATTAAGCATTCAAAACACACTCATAATAGCTGCGTGTACTACTAGCTCGTTAATATTTCCATGTGGCTATTGCACATAATAAAACTCAAGTGTTTTATTAGGAATGTCTAATTTTATTAGCTACAGTAATACAAATATGTGCAAGACATTCAACATAACAAGGCATGGTATACAACAAAACAGGAAGTAAAATACTATATATATTTAATGAAGTAAAAACTTTACAGTACCACAAATTCTAAACATCTATTATCCTTTCTCTCACACACACAATAGTTTTAAAGCAGCAATGCTGTATATAGTAAGAAAAACTATGAGATAGACATGAAAACATGTTCACTAATCATTTGGTTCTTTCATTGTAACTTCAACTAAGCATATTTTCTCATTCACTATTCTATTTTACTCTCTACACTTGCATAATCAGTCTCATTCATAGCATTCAAAACACTATTTGGATGTCTTGAAGCATTTGATATTTCACTATGAAAGTGAGATAGTTATTAGTAGTGCTTTGGAATAGCCTCATAGTTATTAGTAATACTCCACCAAATGTTGGTTAAATTCATCAGTTGGACAGTTTTCTTGGGTTACTATTTACAATAAACCAGGGGTACCAATGCTTTGTCCTAATGATGCCGCATTATCAGTGATTAAAATGTCTGTCAGGAATTGAAAGCTATTTATGAATCATAATACAGAATGGATGATGAGCTGGTTTAGTTGCTTGAATCTTGCAGAGTATATCGAAGGTGACTGCATATTGAATTCAGCTAAATTTGAGACGTTACAAGGTAAGGGACTGTTAATAAATCAGTTTACCATACGTTTCTTCAGTCTCCTCTTCTGGAGCTTGTTTTATATCCAAACTGAAATTGTCCTTTGAGTCATATCTATTTGAAGTGTCATTTCAACAAGTATAGAGAAAGTGTGAACACCTCATCATGGCACTGTAAGCAGAATTAATGAGTGTTGTTAAGGCCGTTACTTTGAGCTTTGAACATATGTGCCCAATTACAGTTACACAGTGCTGGTCCATTTAGTTTGTTCTAGTAGGAACAGAGCTTTTGGGTGATCCATGCTCCCATGGTTGAGTCTCCAGCATTGCTTAAGTGCCTACTGCAGGCCTTTCCCACTAGGAAGACCACCTCTGCAATGTTGAGCAGGATACAGATCCCTGACACAGCCAGCATGAACACAGTGAAGACGGTCTTCTCTGTGGGCCTGGACACAAAGCAGTCCACCGTGTTGGGGCAGGGGTACGAGTCACACTTGACCAGCCGGATCATCTTATAGCCAGGGTAGATCATGTAGAAGAGATACATGAAGGTCACCTCAAAGATGATGCGGAAGAACAAGCTGATGATGTATGTCCACCAGAGGGCACCTGCGATCTTCATCTTCTGGGTCTTGATCTGCTCCAGGTCCTTGGGGCTGGCCCGGCCAGACAGCTTGTAGAGTTTCTTGTCGATGTGTCGGCGGTGGGCCACATGCATGGCCACCAGCAGGGCTGGGGTGGACACCAGGATGAGCTGCAGGGCCCACAGACGGATGTGTGAGATGGGGAAGAAGTGATCATAACAGACGCTGTTGCAGCCGGGCTGCTGGGTATTACAGGTGAAGCCGGACTTCTCGTCGCCCCACACACTCTCTGCTGCAACCACCAAGACCAGGATACGGAAGATGAAGAGGACAGAGAGCCAGATGCGACCGATGCCCGTGGAGTGTCTGTTTACACCGCTGATGACGGCATAAAAGGACGCCCAGTTCATTTTCGATTCCAGGTCTGAAAAACAAGGACGGCATTAAAATTATTTAATTGTAGAAAGCTTTGAGGTCAATAATGTTGATAAATTGTTGCTCATTTTGCATAGAAAATTAGCCCTACATACGTAAGTTATTTCCACATTTCCACAAGATTTCTGTAAACAAATACTAATTGCACGGTTTGTTACTAAAAACACAGATCTCACATAACCCGCTTCACCAGTCAACACCACTGTCTGACCAGCACTGGTCAGCGACTGAGATATTGGGAAATCTCCATAAAGCCATCCATTCTCAAAAAGCAGAATCCCCCAAGACTAATTCCATATCCGTCAAAGCCAATGGCAACTGAGCTCTCTCCAGCTTGTTATAATTCAGATCTATTTAATTCCATTGTTCCAGTCATTCCTGCCATGGCAGTAGAAGAGACTTGGAGAGGTGGAGAGGTGGAGAGGTGGAGAGGTGACCAAGCTCAACAGGAGGTGTAAGAGGCATAGGCGGCACCCAGGGTGGAGGACAACGTTGACCCACCGGTGTAGCGTGGACATTGATGTGCGTCCAGTGGAGAACCAAACCTCTCTACATGCCCTGACGTTGGTGGGCGGCTTAAGGTGACCATTTTCCCAAAGTCACTGGCAAGGGAGTATCTGCCTCCATGTGACCAGTGTGCCATGTTGACACTGGCACCAGCCTGCATGGTATATCTGTGCCCCTCCCCCAGCCGACTGACCACAGACTGGGGTCATAGTGGGGACTTTCATGAAATGTTCTATAATATGTAGTGTCACAACAAAGACTATATGATAAGTCAATGCCAAAAGTGTCTACAGACAACATGGTTCGGGTCTATTTCCCTTCAACTCAAGTCAAATCAAGATATAAATGAAAAAACACATAATTCAGGATTAAAAAATATTAATGACAGATTTTTCCTGATAAAATGAGAAATTTGAGGTAATATGGTAAGAGAAGATTAATGGAATGAGATTCCTGAACATGAGATCGCAAATTGAATGGCTAAATTAAGATTTCCACAATAAAACCTTTAAGTATAGTTATTATTTAAGATTAGCATGTTTTCTTAATTCTTACAGCGCGCACCTCTGATTTTCTAATATATTTCACAAGCAACCTATTATGGCTGTCACTGGAAAGCACAGCTATGGTTATCCAAGCGACATACAATAGGCTATCTATGTAGAAGAATGAGTGAATACAACACAACTGGTGCTTTTAAATTATGTTAATACATCAAATAACACTTTTTAAAGGATACTTTTAGATTATTAGTATTAATCCTAAATAAACATTTCCAAAACATTAGTAAAAATGTTTGTTTGACTAGGCAGAAAGATGACCAGGGAGAGATCTCACCCCCTTTAACATTTTAGGCCATCATTGGAAATAAGAATTTGTTCTTAACTGACTTGCCTAGTTAAATAGAAATAAATAAATAACATGAAACCTAATCACCAACATGTAAATCATGACAAAAAAAATTAAATGCTTATACTTAATTTAGATTTCATAGCTGTAACAAATTATTAAATTAATCAAATTACCTTCAGTAGAAGTAGTGCACAAACACGCCCAGAAACAATTGAGTTACCATCAGTATAGATGGATTTCTTCCCATTAGTGATTCTGTGAGCCAGAACACCATGAGTTTGCATTGCTAATGATTTCTCTCACACTAGCCACTGCCCTGCACAGTCGGAGTCATATGCTCGTGTGAATAATTTACATACAATAGCTGCTTTTATTAGATCCAACAAGCCCCTTTAGAATTCAGATCAAGCGCCTCAGTTTCCGCCTACCCTCAGCAAAGGAAAGAATCTGTGTGGACACAAAGAAGCCTGCCCTATCTATTGTGCACTGTGCTGCAAGGGAAGTGAAGGCTGCTTTTGACACAATACAGAGTAAAAAGTACAAAACCCAAACAAAGAAAGTCTAACCACATGCAGAGGGAGTAAATCATATAGATAACAGTAGAGAAATAAATGCTTGTTTGTTCATAAAAAATGTAAGTCTTGTGTGCGTGGTATTTTCAAAGACATTCTAACCTTTCTTGTATACCCACCTGCTGTCAAAAACGTAACAGACCATTCTAGTAAAGTTCTGAGGGATACTTTGGAGAGATAATCTTAAACAAGTCTCAGACAGATCAACATCTCATCTCTAGAGGGAGCTAGGTCCACTGATGGATGACACACTGACTGAGACAAAGTATCACAAAGACACATCATGAAGCTAGAACTAGGTGGTGTACTGGGCATCATTTCACTTTAGCACAGTGGTCCAATGGGTAGAAAATAAAATAAACGTTTAGTGAGGATGTACAATACATTGATTTAATTGGCTGGGAAACCGAAATACATTTTGAGATCACAATTTATGCTTTCACCAAAATACACATATCAAGTTACATGGGAGCAATAGTAGTCGTGTTCAATATATGATTTTGATTAATGCACATTTTGTGTATGTGTGAATATCAATGTGTCAATAACAATTTGCTTGACCATAGCAGCTTACTGTATCATATTTATTCTGGATCGTATCCATATTTCCAATGCACTAGCAACTTCTTTAAGAAAAAATGGGGAAAAAGTACAAAACACTCAAATAATTTGTTGTTACAGTGGGAACCATACAGAATTCCTGCTATTGTGGAAAAATAGACCAAGAGTTATCAACTCTGACAAAGGAATCCACCAAGTCTGTCAAAAAGAAATAAAATGAGTCAGCCATACTTTTGAGAAGAGCAAATTGCCTTTCACACACACAGTTCTTTAACAAAGAGCAAAACAAGATGAAAAGGGAGTGGCTCTAACATCACACCTGCATAGCAAACCATTATTCAGTTTCACAATGGACATCGATCAGAGGAAACATGTTTTAATAATGGGGCTTCTTCCAGGTATAAGCACGAGCTAACATAACCAATCAGATGAAGTATGGATGACAAAATACAATATCAATTTGTTGTACCTGTAGAGTGTTACCACCACCTTTCTAGGGCATTTCACAAGTCACAACAGTTTAAGTGCTGCTGGATACTCTCAGGAAATATGACTCTGTTTGGGAGCAGCTGTTAAACCATTCATCATCAAATTCACTTACTAATCTTCTTAAGCACAGCACTGCGCTGTCTCAACAGAGACTGGGCCTTCGTGTCAATACTTGGTTGTGTATTTGCATTGAGCCTGCAGATCATATTAATGGCTACCACTAAATAATGTTCCTCTGATATGGCCACAATGAAAGCCGTGATTTACAGCATCAAAATAAAAAGAGACCATAAACAGACACTTATGAACAGTTTCTGTCTGGGATTGTATAAACCTCCCTTTTCTTCAAGGCCATCTTTCCATATACACTGGCAACTTTTTTAAATGTATTTAAGAGGGAATGCAGACCAGGTTTGGCACGGTTGCTGTTGCTGTGTTTGAGGGTTGTCAGCCCATGTTTTTACGGTTCCCATAGCCTCTCCGATGTGTATCCTTCCAGTTGTCCCAGTCTCTAGCTTTCTGCAAGGCCTCCTCGTCATCATTTTCAACCCGCTTCTCTTTCTCTTCTTGTTCTCGCTCTTCTGCATCAACGTCCTCTGAAGGGGGGACAAATTGCATTTGGTGAATGAGACAGGGTGAAAAATAAAACATGGTTCATGACCGTTTTAATTTTCCTCAAAACAATTTAGGTACATACAGTTAACTGTAAATAGAAAACGATTATGAACATCTCTGTTAACCCTACCAGCGCTGCGAGGGATCCCCTGGTCCGGCAAGGCATTTTTCTTCCTGTGCTGCTCATACCACTCATCCACGGACATAGTAGGTAGGCTGGGATAGCCTGCCCCAAACACTCTGAAATGAAAAATTACACATTTTTACACATTCATCAACTATTTACTTCATGTCATATAATAAGCAAGTAGCTATGTAATCTTCATAAGGGAGGTTGGACATAGTACTTATTTTGTGAGCAGGAAAACAGCTAAATATTTTACATAAATATTTGCTGAATGAGAAAATAAATGATAAGTTTGAGCAGGTGCCTACCGAGCCTGAACAGCATCTTTGGTGAGAATGAAGGGTTTCATGGGAGGCCTTTTAGATTGTGATGGCTCTGCTGAACTCTGCACATGGAACATATAAAGAGCATCAGAAAACAATACTCTTTCAATTAGTCATTGGTGAATGAGATTAGTTACATCTTCAAATCCATGTACCTGTTGTAGAACATCCATCCTGGTCAAAATCTCCATTTCCTGATCAATGCTCTCAATCTCCTCCAGGGATACAGAAATCCATTTCCTCAAGTTGAGGAGGTAGAAGTCTCTAACTATCTCGTCGTCTGCCTGCCCACTGTCCACTGCTGCCTTGATCTCTGATAGCTTGGCCTCAGTGTCCTTCCTCTGGTTGTATCTGCAGAGTATAGCACAATAAATAAGAGTCATCAGAACAATTTGGGTGCAGATGAATTGCCATTATAAAATGAACAAGACAGATGTTTAATTTGTTAAATAGCTGAGGGACATAACATATTTTAAGAGGTGCGTGACAGGTACTAGACCTTCAAGCATAGGCCTAAATATTACTTGTGCAGTCCTGAATCAAAACAATGCTTTTTGAAAAGCAGATGTTTCTGATACCTTTCTATCTTTGCAGCTCTTACTGTCGCCATCGCAATCAAGTCCGGAGGTTTGGGGGGCCCATTTGCTGACTCTTCTTCCAGTGTGCCAGCAGAGTTTTCATTGGTGTTGGGTAGTTCAAACTTTGATATGTTATACTCCTTACATCTTTTCAAGAAGTCCAAAAAGTAACATCTAGCTATCTGAACCTGCTCTAATCGTTTTGCCAGGTTCACTTGCTTCATAGTAAGAGCCCCCAGGAGGGCAGGCAACATCAGATATTTCAGATCTGTGGTTGCCACCTCCTCCAACTCTTCATTTCGGCTAAAAAACAAACATGAAGAATGAACAAGAATGAACATGCAGCATCACCTTCATTGTATGGCCTTAGCTTAGCTAACGTTAGCTAGCTACCTAGATTGTTTACGATTTAGCCTAGCCCAGCAAAAGTATCTAGTTAGCTAAACTGTCAAGCAACTTTAAGGTGGAATCTATTCGTTATCAAGCTGACTATACAATTTTATACATAATCATGCCCAATACATGACAGTAACTAGCTACCGGGATATCTGGCTAGTCATCATAGCTTGAGTAGCTAGCGATCTATATCTAGCTAACGTTAGCTACCTGAACAAGTCGAGCTGGGCAACCATCCGCGTTGCCTCTTCCAGTTGCGTTATCCCACGCTTGATTTTAACCTGGATATGGGTAGCTGCGATGTGATCATTTGTGGTGTCCACCTCCCCATATAGTTTCCATCCCCGATCTAATAAATCTGATAGTTTAAGCGGTTCTTCTGACTGACTTGGTGACAAGCTAGTGCTTTCAGCGGCTGCCATTTTTATTTTATTTTTCAACGTAATGACTACTATCGGCTTCCTTATTCATTCTACGCTCACTTCCTTTATGCCAAGATCCAAATGGTTTCCGCTAGTTACCACAGCCACAAACTCAGAATTGTCGTAAAAATGCATGATCATAGTTAGGGTTATGTTTAGGTTTAAAATCACATTTTAAGAAGATACATTTTAGAAATAGGGTTATGACTTTGTGGCTCTGGTAACTAATGATGACCGTCACAAATGGAGATTAATCAGAGAGGAAGAGTAGAAGCGAGAGGTTTCACTCTCGCCCAAATCTGTCCAAAATAAGCCCAATGCGTTTCAATGGGTTTATTTTGGACCTAAACGTGTCGCCTGCCTTCCAGCATTTGGGACAACGACTCCCATTGTTAGGGCGGAGACATGAGCATCTCATCAATTATATATGTATAGATCTCTGGCTGCATCCAGCTACAGTGCCGCCCTTACAAAAAAATATTGCAGTCAGAGTGAAGTATAACTGCTATACACTGAAGTATAACTGCAGTATGTTGCAAATACTGCGTCCAAAATAACACCGTTTTTTTTACTGCAGTAATTTTGCAGTGTAACTGCAGTTACAGTGCAGTATAACTGCAATTCAACTGCAGTACAGTGCAGTTATTCTGTAATTACTGCATCCAAAATATCACAGTCGACTGCAGTTACTGCAATTTCAAAATTGCAATCTTTTTTTGTAAGGGCGGCCACTGAGCGGCCTGTCACTAAAACCCGCCTATCATTAAATATATTATTCTGTAGGTAAATCGTGCCACTCCATTTAGTATGATCACAGATGGAACAATGAGCCAGATATTTCACTGGCTGTATAAATGTGAAGCATCCGGTTAGCGTTTCCACTCACTACCAAATATGGTGATGAGAGGAAGCCCAGTGTCCGGCAGTGGGAGAAGATGGAGCAAGATGGATTTCTCATCGATGAAACATTTGATCTCCATACAGTTTTCTGTTTCCAAAACGAAAATCTGTAACAAACAGAGTGCACTGCATTTTGTAGACTTCACCCTTTGCCAAAGTTTTACAAAATTGTGTTGTTTAGAAGGAGTGCAAGGGCGTATTGAGTTATTGCACATGCGTACTTCACATTACTTCACAGTAGGCATTCCCTAACGGAAATATGCAAAGAAATGCTAGAACGTGCCAATAGGATCTCACTAGCTCGTGCTTGGCTCTGCCTACCTCCTTGCTTGTTCTGCCCACTATGAGTCATTTGCTCCTGTTACAAACTACAGGCTCTGGTCTATCTTGGGTTAGTTATACAAATCTTTGGTATGATGCCACGTTCAAGTGCTAGTCAGAACTAGGAAACTCAGACATTTCTGTTCCTGTCTTTCTTTCGCTACCTCCTACTCTTCCTTACCCCCTACTCTTCCTTATTCTCTCATCAGAAAGTATTCAGACCCCTTGACTTTTTCCACATTTTGTTACATTCCTGCCTTATTCTAAAATGGATGGAGAAAAAAAATCTACAATCTACACACAATACCCAACATTAAAAAGCAAAAACAGGTTTGTAGATTTTTTTACAAATAAAAAACAGAAAAACCTTATTTACATAAGTATTCAGACCCTTTGCTATGAGACTCAAAATTCATCTCAGGTATATCCTGTTTCCATTGATCATCCTTGAGATGTTTCTACAACTTGATTGGAGTCCACCTGTGGTAAATTCAATTGATTGGACATGACTTGGAAAGGCACACACCTGTCTATATAGGGTCCCACAGTTGACAGTTCATGTCAGAGCAAAAACCAAGCCATGAGGTCGAAGGAATTGGCCTCCATCATTCTTAAATGGAAGAAGTTTGGAACCACCAAGACTCTTCCTAGAGCTGGCCACCCAGCCAAACTGAGCAATCCGGGGAGAAGGGCCTTGGTCAGGGAGGTGACCAAGAACCTGATGGTAACTCTTACAGAGCCTAAAGGACTCTCAGACCATGAGAAACAAGATTATCTGGTCTGAAGAAACCAAGATTGAACTCTTTGGCCTGAATGCAAAGCGTCACGTCTGGAAGAAACCTGGCACCATCCCTACGGTGAATCATGGTGTTTTTCAGTGGCAGAGGCTGGGAGACTAGTCAGGATCGAGGGAAAGATGAACGGAGCAAAGTACAGAGAGATCCTTGATGGAACCCTGCTCCAGAGCGCTCAGGACTTCAGACTGAGAAGAAGGTTCACCTTCCAACAGGACAACCACCCTAAGCACACAGATAAGAAAATGCAGGAGTGGCTTTGGGACAAGTCTCTGAATGTCCTTGAGTGGCCCAGCCAGAGCCCGGACTTGAACCCGATAGCTGTGCAGCGAAGCTCCCCATCCAACCTGACAGAGCTTGAGAGGATCTGCAGAGAAGAATGGGAGGAACTCCCCAAATACAGGTGTGCCAAGCTTGTAGCGACATACCCAAGAAGACTCAAGGCTGTAATCGCTGCCAAAGGTGCTTCAACAAAGTACTGAGTAAAGGGTCTGAATAGTTATGTAAATGTGATATTTCTGTTTTCTATTTTGTATACATTTTTTAAAAAAGTATAAAAACCTGTTTTTGCTTTGTCATTATAGGTTATTGTTTGTAGATTGATGAGGGAAAAAACTATCTAATCCATTTTAGAATAAGGCTGTAATGTAACAACATGTGGAAAAAGTCAAGGGGTCTGAATACTTTCCCGAATGTACTGTATATCCCTCACACATTCTCTTTCCTTCTCTCTCTCTTTGTCTCCTCTAACACCAGTAGTAGTATGCAGCCCAAGCCATCAGGCCGCCCCATGCCAATGTCTTGAAAGACCAGAAATCTAAATGCCTGATCAAGGGATTGTTATCCATAGTTTTTCGACTGTAAATTGAAGTTTCCAATTTAAAGAGTAACTTTCATGTTTTTTGGGGTTGGGGCTTAGTTATAGTGAAACACGTCAATTCTGGTCTTCATTTTGACAGTTCGTTGCAAAAGTAATATGTTTTGGTCTTTTAGTAGTAAATCTAGCTCTTTTTGCCTCCTAGCGGTTCAACTCTACCATTGAAATCGTGAATTAGAGGTGCCTCTATGTCATCTCAAGAGAGGGGTTCAGTATGAAATACACTCCCTTCTAGATGTGCTGGGTGGTACCGCCTAAAGGCTCCATAGACAAACATTGGCAGTAGAATGGCCTTACTGAAGAGCTCAGTGACTTTCAACGTGGCACCGTCATAGGATGCCACCTTTCCAACAAGTCAGTTCGTCACATTTCTGCCCTGCTAGAGCTGCCTCGGTCAAGTGCTGTTATTGTGAAGTGGAAACGTCTAGGAGCAACAACGGTGGTAGGCCACACAAGCTCACAGAACGGGACCACTGAGTGCTGAAGCGTGTAGCGCGTAAAAATCGTCTGTTCGTAGGGAGCTTCATGAAATGGGTTTCCATGGCCGAGCAGCCACACACAAGCCTAAGATCACCATGCGCAAAGCCAAGCATCATTTGGAGTGGTGAAAAGCTCGCCGCCATTGGACTCTGGAGCAGTGGAAACGCGTTCTCTGGAGTGATGAATCACGCATCACCATCTGGCAGTCCGACGGACGAATCTGGGTTTGGCGGATGCCAGGAGAACGCTACCTGCCCCAATGCATAGTGCCAACTGTAAAGTTTGGTGGAGGAGGAATAATGGTCTAGGGCTGTTTTCCATGGTTCGGGCTAGGCCCCTTAGTTCCAGTGAAGGGAAATCTTAATGCTACAGCATACAATGACATTCTAGACGATTTTGAGCTTAGAACTTTCTGGCTCTTTCCTGTTTCAGCATGACAATGCCCCTGTGCACAAAGCGAGGTCCCATACAGAAATGGTTTGTCGAGGTCGGTGTGGAAGAACTTGACTGGCCTGCACAGAACCCTGACCTCAACCCCATCACACACCTTTGGGATGAATTGGAACGCCGACTGCGAGCCAGGCCTAATCGCCCAACATCATTGCCTGACCTCACTAATGCTCTTGTGGCTGAATGGAAGTAAATCAATGCAGCAATGTTCCAACATCTAGTGGAAAGCCTTCCCAGAAGAGTGGAGGCTGTTATAGCAGCAAAGGGGGGACCAACTCCATATTAATGCCCATGATTTTTGAATGAGATGTTCGACGAGCAGGTGTCCGCATACTTTTGGTCATGTAGTGTATTTTGCATGATGCTTCCTTGACTAGACTACTGACGTTACACACAATTCAAACGTCAGTAAGGCACATTTCCGCCTATGACCAAATTCAACATTTTTGCTTACCGTTTCATACACATCTATGTGCTTTTACGAGAGAAAAAAAACATGTAGGCTATGAGGATTATACATTTATATTCGTAGCTACATGCATCATAACAAGAAATAGATGACAATGGTGGTCCTGTCAACTCGTTGTATTTTTTCCCCTACCGCTGTGACTTATTGGTGGCACATCTGCTAAAACAGTTGGTTCATAGTTCAATGGTTGTGACTTCCATTTGGGCAGATATCTATATATATATTTTAAATTCTTTATTTACAATATTCATCCCGTGCCCACACATTTCTAATTCTGAAAAGTGAAAGCATACCTACCTATCTTGATTATTGTCGTTATACGGTCAAGTGCTGCAAAGAAGGACTTAGTTAAGCTGCAGCTGGCCCAGAACATTGGCACATTTTGCATTTTGCTTGGCTATTTTTATAAGAAACATTCACGTTGGAAATTCCAAATGGTTTGCATACTCAACTTACACACAGCACTGACACACACACTTACCCCACCAGACATTCCACCAGGGGTCTTTTCACAGTCCCAAGGTCCAGAACAAATTCAAGGAAACTTAAAATACTATACAGAGACATGATTGCATGGAACTACCTTCCATCTCATTCAGCAAATCTGGTCCAAAAAGAAATAAAGCAACACATCTCGGCCTCTCCCCCATGTGACCTACTTTTTGTGTGTATGTATTGACATGTATGTGCAACTGATAGATGCACACAC